CTTCTCTCCTCCCCGCTTCCCACGTGGCATTTCAAGGCAGGGTGAGGTGATCCAGATGAGAACAGGTTCCCAAAGGCCAGCTAAGCGCCAGGGACAGGTCCTGATCTCACTGCTAGCGGCCTTTCAAAGAGTCACACTCATGCAGAGGGCCTAGGTCGGTCCCATGGAGGCTCCCTAACTGTAGCTCCGGAGTCCATGAGCTCCCACGAGCTCAGGTCAGCTCATACAATCCCTCCTCCCTTCCTTCAGCAAATCTTGCTCCCATTTGGAGGAAGGTGGGAAGTACATAGCCTTGTGGGTTTTGCTTTTATATGTTTTGGACTGATGTAATTGGTGGCCGAGTCCCAGGTATGGACCTGGTCAGTGTCCATTGTCCTGGCCAGGACTTAAAAATTGAAGCTTGCTTCAATTTTGGCTTAAGAATTATAGTAGTAGTTTTAGAAATTAATATGGGTAAGTGAAAAAGCTAGATTAGTTAAGAAATTCATTAAGGCCCCAATGCTATTGATCAGTATTGGAGAGTTTCAAACTGAGGTAATTTTTACTCAAAAGCCCCCAAAGCTCCGCATACCACGAAGTGCACATTTCTGGTTTGCTTTTGAGGTGCTGGGCCTAGTACTGGCGGTTGAAGCCAGGGCCTTGTGCATATTAGGCAGGCACACGGCCACTAAGCTAAATCTCCAGATCTTTTTAATTCTTTACCTGTTGAAACAGGATTCCACTAAGTTGCCTGGGCCAACCTTGAATTCATGGTATAGCTGAGCCTGGCTCTCCAGTGGTCCTCCTGCCTCAGACGCCTGAGTAGAGAGGCTGACAGGCCTATGCTACCAGGCCTGGCCTTTTACTTTGTACTGGAACCCAGCCAGCTTTGCAGTAGGCTTCTGACATTAGTTAGTCTCAGCATGCTATGTACTCAGCTTGACTTTGAACTCACGAGATCCACCTGTCCATGCCTCCCAAGGGCTGGGATTAAAGGCACACGCCACCACACCTAGCCCCACATACCAATTCTTAAAGTGTCACGCAGAAGTGACACATTTCACCTTCATTCCCATGCCTTTAATCAAAGCAGGTCCCTTCGAGGGGCTGGGGAAGGGCCTGCTACCACATGGCTGGAAGAAAACAATCTCCTTTTCACCCCCTGTCAATCACTCTTCTGCTTTCTGCAGTTTTATCTTTCCTAGAATGTACTATAGATGGACTCAGTGTGACTTTTTTTTTTAGTGTGTAGACTTTTATGTTAAATATTTGTGTATTTTTTGTGGCTATGTATGTGTACCATGTGTGTGCAGATGGGTCTAAAGAGGGCATCAATCCCATAGAACTGGAGTTACAGGGAGCTGTGAGCTGTCATCTGGGTGTGGAGAATAGAATCTCGGGTCCAAGAGCAGTGAACATACTTGACTGCTAAGCCATGTCTCCAGCCCACCCAGCTTTCTTTCTTTTTTTTTTGTTCACTTAACACAATGCTTTTGAAACAGCCCTGTGGCAGCATCTCTGCCTGTTAGACTAGTCTGTTCTTTGTAAGTGCTTGGTGATGCATAGTTCTTCCACAAAGCCACAGGTGTCCAACCTTTGGACACTGGAATGCAATGCTTCATCTACAAGTGTGCTGAGCAGCATTCATAGCTGTCCTGTATGTGGTCCATGGACCACAGTTAGACACGTCTGGGAGTCTCTCTTTCTCTCTGTCTCCCTCTGTCTCCTCTTTCTTTGAGAGAGGTGCCCAGCAAGGCACCTCTGTCAAATCTGTACTCTGACTCAGGGTTCAGACCGGGCTGGCCTTGAACTTGCTGTCATCCCTCTGCCTCAGCCTCCAATGTACTAGGGTTATAGGCACAAGCCACCATTCCAAGGCCAGGGTCTTTGATTTTAAAGTTTTTTTTTTTTTTTTTTTATGATTCGCGCACCCACTAATCCATCCTTGCTTTAGTAACTGCTTACTAGCTGCGGGCCAGACCCGAGCATGGACTATCAGACACGACTACAGTGTTGTCGGTCCTCACAGTATGATACTGAGCTAACTGGTCCCTTTATGTTTATGGGGGGGGGGAGGCTATGGAAGTGAAGGGGCCAAGCTCAAGCCACCAGGGACAGTGAATAGTGACATCCAGGGTTCCATGTCTCTTCCTTCTTTTCGTGACAGGAGGTTCTTGTTCACCCGAATCAATATGTATCATTTCCTGATAGTTATAGAATGATTTCCTATGAGTTCTTTAATGTAGGGCCCAGGTCTACCCTTGTTCCTGGGGTGCATCTTGAGGACAGTTTCTGGTCAGCCAGCTAAAACATTCTGTTTGTTCCTGTGCCCCTTCTACCCTGCCTGGTGATTAACTGTAGGGCATTGTTGACTCCATCTTTAGTGTGGTAATTTACCACCTGCCTGGTCAGAAATCCTTGTGCAGTAGCGAGGTATATAAGGATTTTCCCAAGGCTGATCTTCTTTCGAATGACCCAGGTCTCTTGTGTGTTCTTTCAAACTCCAGGCCCTTGCCCGGCTCGCACATGAACTGTACCGAGGGGGTAACACAGAATCAGGTGTTACACTTTAATCTTTGCAACTTCCTAAGGCAGAAATTATCATCCTATTCCTCCGATCAGGATACAGAGGTTCAGACACTGGGGTAGACTCAGGCCTGCCATGGTGATTTGTGAAGAAATAGCAGGGAAGTGTAGAAGAATGCCTCCTACCAACTGACGGTGCTGGATGATTTGATAAAATCAGTAAAAAGCAGCAGAGACATTACTCCTGGTATGGCCCTGTCTTTCTAATCTGAAGTTCCTGATTGCTATGCCAAGGGTTGCATGATGTCACAATGCCGTTTTCAGAGCCAAAAGCTGCCAGGGCTTTTACCTACTGACACAGGAGAACTTTGCCCGGGAGGATCACTACACCACACACCCAGGATCTGCTCCCCAAGTTGGAAAACAGTCGACTGTGGGTGCTGAGAGTCTGAAGACACTTGGAGAACTTTCCTTCCCAGCAAACTGCATCTTGGGGCAGAGGCTCAGCCAGGCAGAGGCACAAGTGGGTTAACCATGCAGCCCCCACCCCTCCCTCCGATGTGTGGGCAAAAGGCTTCCTATCTTGGCTTTGAAGCCATTATCAAAATGTTGCATTAGTCAAGATGTAGAAATGACCTTACTGTCCATTGATGGATGTTAAAGAAACTGGTATAGATATATAATATTACTGTCCATTGATGGATGTTAAAGAAACTGGTATAGATATATAATATTACTTAGCATTAAGAAAGGGAGAGGGGTCCTCTATTTTGAGATTGTGTGGAACTGAGGAGATAACTTAGTGAGCGAAGTAAGCTTGGCAGAAAGATAAATATTGCATGACCTCCCTCGCATGCATGCATTAGCGTACATTATATGTGTGTGTTCACTGCTATTATGAAAGACCTGAGGATGGACACAAAAGAGATTGCCAGGCAGGGTGGCCCAAGTCTGTAATCTTGGTGCACAAGACACTGAGGTGGGAGGGGTCTGGGTTTGGTGATAGCCCTTATTTCAAAAAGTGAAAAAAGTGAAGAGAAGGGAGGGAGAGGAAGGATAAAGGGGAGATGGGGAAGGGGGCACACACGCATGCGCGCACATACATTCTCTAGGATTCACACACACACACACACACACACACACACACACACACACTCTCTCTCTCTCACAGATTGACCAAGCTTTGGAGATGGCCATCTTGACTGTGTCACACCGTGGTGGAAGAGTTTGTATATGAGGAAGAGATCACAATCATAAAACTAGAGGACAAAGAGAGACAATGGGGTCTCATAATCTCTCCTCTGTGGGGACATTTCTAACTGACCTGAGACTCTTTACCTAGTCCCACTTATAAAAGGTCTTGCCATCTCCCCAAATTGCTACAATGAGGACCCAGTTTCCAATACATGGATCTTTGGAAGCCACCCATGTCCTGGCGGAGTCTGAAAGAGTCACAATGAAGAGAATGAGGGGTGGGTGGGTTAGGGAACAGAGAAAAGAAGGTTAAAAATGTAACTAAGATACATAAAAACTATAGTTAAGAGTGTATTAAATGCTAAATATTTGTTGAAAGATCTGATGTTACTATACAAACACATACAAGGGATGACAGATTTATTTCCTTGTCTGTGCAGGAACCAGTTAGTGTATACCAAATATCATAGTGCACACCTTAAATGCACACAGTTGTAGGAGATGTCTGCAGTTGTCATGGTTTCCAATGTCTGGCTGAGTTGAGCAGGAACAGGTCAGGACCAACATCAGGACCCTGTAAAGATCTCAGCGGGGACGGTTTCCTAGAGGCTGAGTGGAGGGAGGGGTTGGAGAGAGAGCTGGTACTGGCCATCCAGGAATGTTTGACGAGCTACAGCCTGATTGAGCCTGCTGACCCGATGCCCTCATGCCCCACGCTGTGGTTATTAGCCTTCACTGGTGCCAAGGGGTTTATTTTTCCCTCTGTAAAGTGTGCGAGAGGCTTCCATGGAAGCAACTAATGAATACTTAGTGAACTTTTATAAGTCAGGCAGCCACATTCCAAGGCCACCATGATTTTACAGCTCCACAGATTCTCAGACATGCTACTGTCCCATCTCCATGACAAGAGGAGTTGGCATGGACTGGTCACAGGCAGCCGTCAGGAGCAAATGCTCAGTGTCTGACCTAGTTACACCCTCCGATTTAGAGACAGAGAGAATGTAATATCTGAATTAGGCCTTTGTCACCTAGGGAGGTCCGTCCGTCTGTCCGTCCGTCCGTCCGTCCGTCCGTCCATCCATCCAACCATCCATCCATCCATCCATCCACCCTTCCATTTACCCATTCATCTTCAGCAGTGTTTCTTGATTTCCGGGCATTGAGAACCTCTGGAGAGGTGACTCACGGCCTGTTTGCTATCCAGAAGTTCACTATTCACTTCAGCTATTTAAATGACATGTTGGTAAGAAACAAAACACAACTTCTTACACACTCATTTGCTTGTTTTAAGAGAAAACCAATGGGAATGATATTAATTTTATTGCATCAATTTTTTTTTGCTGACTAGAACGCCAGACTTAGAGTGGATATAAGTATAAAAATAACCAGATTCTTACAAATAATACTTTGCTGCTACAGTACTGAATAATTAGTGGAGGCGACATTATAATACAACTTTAAATAACATTCTCATGATGGGTTTCACACAGTCAACGTGGGTGTCAGGTTTCAAAGAGTACAGAACAAAACCCAGGACAATGGCAACAGAGTTCGTACTGCAGTTTCATCTCCATTTAACCGTAAGGCCAGCAACACACACACACACACACACACACACACACACACACACACGCACAGCAACTCGTGGTGAAATGGTCATTTTCTCTGTAGAACAGGCCTAGGTAATGCCCAAAGACAAGCGAGTGCATTCAGTTCCCCTGACAAGCCACTTCCACCCCACTCTACTCTCACCCCATTCCCAACAATTCAGGACAAGGGCATCAAGCCCTTCATTTCAAATTATAGCCTAATCGACCAGGCAGTCCCTTGGAAATGCCCACGTGACAGGTGCAGCCCAGGACCTGCCTCTCCTCATACCTAAATGTCTCCCTTTGGTTTCATAGGTTACTCTGTGGGCTAAAGCTTCTATCAGACATAAAGAAGTGTTACCTCACTGGGTGGTGGTGGCGCACGCCTTTAATCCCACCACTCAGGCAGAGGCAGGTGAATCTCTGTGAGTTTGAGGCCAGCCTGGTTTATAGAGTGAGTTCCAGGACAGTCAGGGCTATTACACAGAGAAATCCTGTGGAGTCACTTAAGTACAATGAATTGATTGGCATTTAATACTTTAATGTTCCTATTATTTTAACCAATTATTTAAAAAAGTTTAATGTTATTATTTTAACTTTAATGTTCCTATTGTTTTCCCCTTTGGGATTTGGGAAAAGAAAGAGCACACATACCCAGCGATAAGCTACTAAAGCATTTCTGTCTCCTAACACACTGATGAGTACTTTAGAATGATACTGTTAGGAAAGAAGAAATGACAGGGCTGGGGTGTGATGCGGCTTCACAGCATGGCACAGCACTTGCCTGGTACATGCAGGAGGAGGAGGAGGGGGGAGAGAAGGAGGGGAAAGGAGGAGGAGCTGGAGGAGGGGGAGAAAGAAGAGGAGGAAGAGGAGGAGGAAGAAGAGGAATAAGAAGAGGAGGAAGAGGAGGAGGAGGAGGAGGAGGAGGAGGAGGAGGAAGAGGAAGAAGAAGAAGGAGGAGGAGGAGGAGGAGGAGGAGGAGGAGGAGGAGGAGGAGGAGGAGGAGGAGGAGAGATGTGTGTGTCCTTTTCTAAAAACAAAAGCTTTCAGGTAGATTACAATGTCTCTTCTATTACAGGCTGTTTTAAATACGAAAACACAGAACTTTGTATTCTTCTTCCCAAAGAAGTGCTTTGATCTTGAAGAAAAAGAATCAAGATAAATTTAGAACTATGTGTAAAGCCCCTAGTTTTGAGTGTACTGTGGGACACGTAGCTAAGGACAACTTAGCTGTATAGTTTTACTGCTTTAGGCCCAGTCCCACATTACAGAGACGTTGGCACGTCTCTCCTGGGCAAGGTGGCTTAAGGAGGCATCCAAAAGCCACGTGCCAGGGGTGACCCTAGTGTGCCCTCTCTGGAGTTCCACACTTGAACAGGCAGCATTTTTGAAGACTTTACTCTTGGTCGTCAGCCAGTCTCCTGTGGCCCAACTTTATGACTTCCTCTTTTAGACCATAATAGTCATCTTTGACCTCAAAATGCCACCAGGCAGCTTGCCTGCACCAATCATACACCAGTTCTGGCTCAATAAGACTTAGGTGCTTCTAAGAATAACCTCCCCAATAAGGAAGCTCCTTCGGCACCCCAGACACTCAGCTACGTTCCCAGCTCCTACAGGTTCACACACTGAATATGCAGGAGCCATGGCCTCACTTTGAGAATAAAGCAGGCAGCTCTCAAGGTGGGCGCCTCAGTCTGGTTGTGCTTATCAAAAAAACCCACCTAGACCATTCCCTTTCAGTCCTGGCAGCCCAAGCCACCTACCAATATACTTCTTGCCAACTACAAACACATTAATATTTCCTTTTTGAGACAGGTGTCATGTACTGCAGGAAACCCTTGACGTTCTGACTTTCTGAGGGCTGGGGTCACAGGAGTGTAACACTGCGCCCAGTTTATGTGGTGCCCAGGATCAAACCCAGGGCCCGCACATGCGAGGCAAGCTCTCTGCCATCTGAACTACATCCCCAGGCCCCTGTCTGAACGCTCATCATCAACTATCACCAAATACCTTGCATAGAGCTTGACTCACAGGAACACATGACGCTATTTATCCTTGTCCTCTTCAGAGATGGGCCCCAGGTCATGAGCTGCCTTGTGGAGCAATGAAAAAAAAAAAAAAAAAAGATCCCTTGGCATTTACACTGAGCTCAGACTGGATTCCAGAAGCACCCCTTTTCTTATTCCTGAACCCCGTAGGGATAGACAAGTTCTGCCTGGCCTGGCTCTCCTGCAACAAGCATCTCCTCTTCCTTCATCATGGGACCCAAATGCAGGACTGCGACATATCTACGCATGTGAATTATGTGTTCTGAGTGCAGACCGACTGTGAGCACTGTGTCCTGCAGAGAGTCTGCATGTCTAGGCGTGTGTTCATCCTGTCTGTCCTGCTCACGGGCTGCCGATGTCCTGTCTCCAGGCTCCATCTGGATGTAACCCCGAGGGGAACAGCACCCAGACACTGCATTCCTCCCACGGTGGGCAGAGAATGCCAGGTAAGTCCTATCTCTTTTACAAATTCTTCCAGCCTTTCTACCTCTAGTCCCATCCCCGAGACGGTAGACTCAGTATAAATCCACCCTTGCTCGGCGCTCTCATTTTTACCACAGTAAAAGGAACAAAATGAAATAAACTTATCAACTCTATTTGGACCAAACTTATGAGCCAGCAAGCACTTTTGGATTCACAGGACACTTTTCTGGACACTGGGATTCCTCCCAGGATTTTTTTTTTCCTGAAAAATTTCATGGTGTGGGGCTTGAGGCTTCTGGCCCTGTACAGGCGCTCACCAGCTGTGATGCCAGCTGAAGGCATTAGAAGTGTGCCTAGGGACAGCCGCCACACTGGCTCTTCTCACAGCAGTAAGGCTGGGGACAGACAGGGACACGGAGGGAAGGGCTAGAACCAGGCTACCTCACAGGAGACCTGAGCTCAGGCAAGCGGTACACAGGAGCTCACAAATGTACAAGGAGCCGCCAGTTCCACTGTGGGGCAGAGGCGAGACCCATGGCTTCTAGATGCCAATGCATCAGCCAACAGCAACAGAATTCTCTGTACTAGTGAGTGCATCTGATGATTAAAACCCACTGCACCTGACTAATGGTCCCGAGCAGTGGAGACTATGGGACACAGTGCACACTTAAAACAGGCTGGGGACCTGCATACATTTCGGAGGAACCAGAGAACCCCAAACAAACACACACAGATCTATTTCCAACAGCTGCCCCATTTCCAGAAAGATGCACCCCTGAATTCCCAGCTACCGGGGGGGGGGGGCAATGCTTTGACCTCTTCATCCAAATCCAGGATATTCCACACACTTGATAAACGACTGTAGTTCCACAGGGCACAGAGCCTCCCCCGCTACACACACACACACACACACACACACACACACACACACACACACACACAGGGCTCCCACCACAATACAATAAACAAGACACAAAACTTGTGTTCCCCAAGTTCCCTCTCCAGCGAGTAAATAGTGGTTAAAACTTTCCATGAGTTTGTGGACACTGTGGGTTCAAAGATCAGAAGGCACACACCCTTACCTGTGACTCCCTCCTAGCTCCCTGTTCTTCCTCGGGGAAACCCCGCAGCTTCTCAAAACGCTGGGTGATGCAGGAAACAGGCCAGGTTATTCAGTCCAGCCCTCTGCCACATTCCGCTGCGGGGACTACAGTGGCGACACCCTAGATCGCCTCTCCCTTTTCTGCTATGGCCACGCAGACTGGCTCCACGCTGGGCGTCAGCGTCCCAGGCCCCCATGCTATTCCCTCATAGATCAAAACCACCCTACCACACGGAGGACCGGCCTGATATTGCCTGCTGGGACTCGCTAAGGGGCAGCTGGGCACGCCTAATGAAACGATACCAGATGAAAACTATTCTACCCTGATGCATTCTTGCTGGGAAAAGTAAGATCAATAAACCGTAAGCAAGCGTGTCACCTTGACTTAGAAAACAAATGGAAGCCGTGTGCTGCACCTTGCAAAGGTCAAGTTCTCATTTGGGGTGTTTGCTTGGAAATGAGCACAGGCAACCTAGAAACCTTAAAATTCCACGCCCTGGCTGCAGCATCGCTTGGTCACAGCCGTCTGTTTACCTCCATCTGTTCTTTAGCACAAGGCACCAGGCAGGAAAACCAAAGTGCCAGCACCTGGCTGCCAGTCAATCACCAAACTGAGGCCTGTAGAAGTATCCCAGGAAAGGAAGGCTTTCCGAAACAGCCTGGGAATGAGTCAAAAATGAAACCTCCCTGCCCAATCTATTAAAGTGCAAATTACGGGGAAACCGGGGCCTGGAAATGATGCCGCCTAGTGGTCGCCTGTGGAAGTCAGCCAGTTCTACGCGCCGGACATTCGGAGACTCGGTACTGGCCCACGTTCATGTTCACAGTGATAACAGTGCTGAACGAGCGCTCTGCGGTTCCGCATCCATCTGTCCCCTTCCACTGTGGTCATACCCCTCAAGTGTGGCTCTGACGAGTCCTGGGAGCAGCTAGTGCGTGGCACTCCCTCCCCGTGCAGTCCTCTGAGCCAGAGGTCTGGGGAAGTGGCTCAGAGAAACTGGGCCCCTCTCCCTCCTGGACTCAGAAGTAGTCTCTCCTCCTGCTCTCATCGCTGATGAAAGATGGGTTATACTGTCCCGGGAAAATGCAGGAGTGCCTTGATCCGGGCAGTCCAGTGTAGGCCGGGTAGAGTCCGTTGCGTTCAAGTTCAGGGTTCCTTACGTTTGTGGGCTGGATGCCAACGAGAAAAGAATAAAAGTTACTTATTCCCAGACTTAAATAAGTTTAAATGATTTTACATTTTAATGAACCTAAGACGGGACTAGCTATAAATTGAGATTGGGGTTAGCTAGAAATATCGAAGCATGGGCTCACCTGAAAGCAAGACTCCCACGGGTCTGTTTATGTATTTAGATGGGGGTGGGGTGGGCGGAGTCATGCCATCTGTTCCTGGGGGCCTGAAACTCACAATCTCCTTCTTTTAAACAAATTATTTTAATTACTTTTCCTAAATTTTATTTTATATATATATGAATGTTTGTGTGCCTGGTGCCCACAGACACCCCAAGAGGCCATCCGAGTCCCTGGAACTGGAGTTACAGACAGTTGAGCGCTGCCGTATGGGTGCTGGGACTTAACTGCCGAGCCATCTCTCTAGCTCCCCCCACAATCTCGCCTCTTCCTACCATGTGCTGGGATTGTAGGCGTGTGTCACAGTACCTGGCATACAAGCTTATCTCTTTATGGACGTGGGGCACATTTCAGTCCTTGTTACAAGGGGGTTAAAAAAAAAATCTTAGTCGGGCCAGTATCGGAAACAACAATACAGGGCGTGGTCATCTGTATTTTCTCCACCTTTCTTATTCTTCCTCTTGGCTGAAAAATTTCAAAGATCACACTGAAACCAACTGGCCCCTCCCATCCAAAGTCTGATCCTCCTGGTTCATCCCCATAGCAACCAGAGATTATGGTTTCTATTGCCGAATGTCTAGTGCCATTAAGTCCCCGCAGGGCAAGGTCTCATGCTTATTGCCACAGGGCAAACTGGTGAGAAGTCACTTGACGTGTTTATTTTTCTGCTCCGATATCTGCATTTGTGTCTCCTCACGGCTGACACGGTGTGACCTGAGCTGAACTGAACCGAATAGGAGTCAGCGTGGGACAGGAAGAGGGACTCCACGCAGTGATTCTCAACGGGGGGGGGGAGTGGGGGGTCGAGATCCCTGGGGCGGGTGGGTGGAGCAACCTTTTACAGGGGTCACGTATTAGATATTTACAATACATTTCATAACAGCAGCAAAATTACGGTTAAGAAGTAGAACCGAAAATAATTTTATGGTTGGGGGTCACCACCACATGGGGAACTGTATTAAATAGGGTCACAGCGTCAGGAAGGTTGAGAACCACTGGCTGAAGGTATGCTCCCAGCTTCCCCGATGATGCAGTCCAGGGCTGGATGGAGCCGATCATTAGAGATCAACTGAGTTTCTAAAGCCTCCATGGTGAGGATGACATTGAGCCGTTCTTGCTGTGTCTCTCCCGGGCCCCAGTTTTGACTGACAAACCACAGGAGGTGAGATTCGAGATAGCGAAACAAACAGCAGAAGGGCAAAGGGCCAAAACCACATTCTTTCTTTCTTCTTCTTCGAAGTTTCTGTTCCTATTCTGGAAAGTAAGTTCAGGGATGACGACTCCCACGCCCTGACAGTTATTTACTCTGTGAAAGGATCCCTGATACTCACACTGCTAAATACTGCACAGCTAGGCCATTGTTAGACCGAATAATAAACCCGAGTAAAAACTGTGTGTCGGTACACTGTGAACTGGAGAGGTTTATGTCAGTGTTCTCCTTCCACGCTTTCACAGGGAGCCTGAGTTGGGGCCTGTGGCCGGCTGGGGGCCTGTGGCCGGCTGGGGTCTGTGGCCGGCTGGAACCCTGTCTCCGGCTGGGGGCCTGTGGCCGGCTGGGATCCTGTGGTCAGCTGGAACCCTGTCCCCGCTGGGGGCCTGTGGCCGGCTGGGGGCCTGTGGCCGGCTGGTTTCCTGTTTCCGGCTGGGTTCCTGTTTCCGGCTGGGGGCCTGTGGCCGGCTGGAACCCTGTCCCCGGCTGGGGGCCTGTGGCCGGCTGGGGGCCTGTGGCCGGCTGGAACCCTGTCCCCGGCTGGGGGCCTGTGGCCGGCTGGGGGCCTGTGGCCGGCTGGAACCCTGTCCCCGGCTGGGGGCCTGTGGCCGGCTGGAACCCTGTCCCCGGCTGGGGGCCTGTGGCCAGCTGGGCAGACACCTACCGAGTAGTACACGTCTGTCATCTGCAGGAGGTTTTTGGTGCTCCCGTTCTCGTGCATTTCAATGGCTTCTCGGCCCCATTCTTGTGAGCGAGGATTCTTGGGGTACTCGGCGTATGGGGACATTTGGAAGTCCCCACTTTTGAAGATGAGTTTACTTATGTCATTTTTACTCTTTCTGTGAGATGTTAAAAAGATGCGCGACAAATTCTATCAGTAAGCTGTGTCAGAAAGCGGCCTCGGTGACGAGACTGATAGACTAGACCTGGCACCGCCCCTGTATTTCCATGCGGCTGCCCGCCAGAAATGCTAGGATGATTTAGTATATGCCTAAGAAACTAAAACTGACATTAGGTGTCCCCTCTGCCATCCAAAAACAAACAAACAGAAAACAAAAACAAAAAGACTTTCCAACTTCAAACGCCTAAATGGAGCATGAAGACAGCCCCAGAGGGGCTATTAGTGTCCTCTGGAAGCAGAGGGATTGTGCCCTGGAGTGGCCAGGGGCACAAGAATTAGGGTTCACAGGTGACCGTGGTGGGGAAAGGAGCTCAATGGTGGCCAAATGTCAGTAGCCACGGGTGAAGCATCAAGGCTGTTCTTGAGTTTCCAGAATGGGAGCCAGGCCTCGGGCGGCTCTGGCTCGTGGAGGCTTAGCCCTAGGCTCACCTGCAGCTACTAGAGACCAGGGATGGGGTTGGCCTCTCCACTCCCCAGCCAGGGTTTTACTTACAACTTCACAAACCACAAAACCTCCATGGGGGCCGCCTGCTTACAGCCTCTCCACATTCTCATTTTAGCAGGCCCAGAACCCACCCTGCCGTGAGGTTTCACCACCTAGGACTGGTTGGGGCAACTGTCTGTCTTGTGGGTGGAGGATCAGAAATATTTAATTCTATTTGCTCCTAGTAAGAGAATCTGAAGGCCGTTGTTTGTCCTGCACTTTAAGTTTCTGGGAAAGGCACAGAAATGATTCAGCACCGTAAAACTGAAGTTCCTGCACACGGTTTCAGTGCCGGCCCTTCCGTCAGGCCCAGAGCCGACCCGCTACTACTGTGCGGTGACAGGTTGGCCCCATTGCTGTCTTCCCCTTTCAGTAGCCAAGAATCTGGGCTCCCTCCAGAAACGCCTACATTGCGTGACCGAGAATGCTGCCAAGACAAGGTTTATGTCCTTCCGCCTGCCAGGCCTTGTTTTTCTATGTAACTGCCCCTAACCGGTTTATTTCCTCGCATGCTTATATCTGATGGCAATCTGAGAAGAAATAGCTATCCCATGAGGCCCACACTCCTGAGGGATATAGAGCTTACCATGTTATTCTTGGTAGCCTTCCTGGAGGCAAAGGATGCTTTAAAATGTCCTTACATCATGGGCACAAAAAGATAACGAGCTACCTGGGAAAAGTCCCCCTGTCTGTAACCTACACATACTTCTTTCCATTTGATATCGTTTAAATCAATGATTGTAATTTTCCTTTACTTGAACAGGTAATTGTAGACAAGGGGATCTAGCTTCCCCTTTCTCTTCCCTTCCCATAGGAACTCCGTCGCGGGAAGCCTGGAGTGAAGGTCACACTATTCATCCAAACCTTGGCTCTCTCCATCGCCTTTGCTGCTGACATAGCTCAGGCAGCCCCCTTCCTCCCTGCGTCTCTGCATCTCTCTATAAACACAGACCTGAGAACAGACTGACGTAACTATACGATTTACTCGTTTGGTGGTTTTTACCGCATTCACTGTGGTGCGCCTGTCCTCTCAGTTTTAAAGGCGCTTCGTCACCTACCCCGTAGCAACCATCCCCAGCCTTCTAACATCTCTAACGTGACCTCCGCCCTAGACTCCAGCTAGTCTACTTCCTGTCTCTAGGAGATGCCTACTAATCGTATCACAGCCCAGAGGATCTTTAATAACTCGTGTTCATAGCGCACCCCTGATGATTTTGCAGATGCCGTCTTTCACCTAGGATAGGGTGTGGAAGGTTCACCCACGTGCCAGTCAGTGGCTGACTGTGGGTCTGGGGACAGGTCTGTCACATCTGGTTTGCTTATTCACCAGCCCACAGGCCCTGGGATTGTTTCCCCTTTGGTCTCTTAGGAACAGACTTGCCATGAACACACTAGGCCAAGTTCCTGTGTGGATGTGTTTCCATCTAGTCTCCCCTTTAACTCAAGGAGATCCAAGTGTCTCTGTCTCCAGAGTGCTGGGATTAGAGATGTGTGTCCCCAGATCTGGGTGTTTTGCTTTTTAAACAGTCTCTTTGTAGGCCTGGCTGGCCTTGCACCTGCTTCCCAGCTAAGGATAACTTTGAATTATTGATTCCTCCTGCCTTTACCTCCTGGGCTGGGATCACAGGAGGACAGCACCATGCTCAGCTTTTGTGTGTCTGGGGAGCAAACGCAGGGCTTCACGCGTGCTAGGCAAGCACTCTACCAACGGAGCCCCATCCTCAGCTCTAGAGTTGGAAAGTTCTGGATCTTGTTAAAATCCAATTCGCCTTTTTATTTAGTTGGTTATGTTACTACCTTTTGGTTCTTTGGAGACAGGATTTTATCATGCAGCCCAGGCTTGCCTATAACTTGCTATGGACCCAGGCTGTCGTCATCCTCCAAGGTATATTCCTTCTGCCTCAGTCTCCCCAATGCTACGTTGTTCAAGGCTAAACACTGACCCTCTGAACAGCACAGTTGATAAAGCAGGATTTAAATTCGAGATCTAGGTCACTCACCTGCAACAGGTAACAATGAGTGCGATGCCCAGGATGAGTAGAAGGCCACCTCCAGCTGCCGCTATCACCACGGTGATGAGCTGATAGGCTAAACACATCAAACAAAGGGGCAAACAAACAGGGTGGATTGGCAGGTGGTCATGAGTAATAATCAGAGCCTCCGCCCTGCTCCCCCACCTCTGCCAGCGTGGCCCTGGCTGCTCTCGCCTAAGGCCTGATCTCTGGCCCTGAAAACTCTAAGGCCAGAGTTCTACTTTCTCTGTCTTGAGAGGAATCCCCCGTTTAGCCCTTTCTAGGAAAGTGGCCCTAAAATTCTTCCTGTAGGACAGCCCTGATGACGTCACTGAACCACAAATGAGAAAGAGACAGGCAAGCATTGTTTCCCCAAACTGATCTGAGAGATTTCACTCATCCTTTTCTCTCTCTCATTTAAGATGAGTGCTTCTTTGAAATTTAAACATCAGAAAACTTGTTATCTTGATGGTGACTGTAGAGATAAAGATGCTTGGTTCACACTGGAGGCAGAGGCAGGCAGATCTCTATGAGTTCGAGGCCAGCCTGGTTTATAGAGCAATTTCCAGGACAGTCATTGCTACACAGAGAAATTCTGTCTCAAAACAAAACAAAATAAAAGCAGATGCTAGATTCTGTTTTAGGGCGTTACTTGGTAAAACAGAACTGAGCCAGGTTAAACTCTTCATTTTCAGAAGAAATATTACTGGTCTGTTAAATCCAGGGACCCAGGGGGCTCCATAGACATAAATTTAACTACCAGAAATTAGCCCTGATAGAATAATGCTGAAAGGTCTAATTAACTGGGTTTTATATCTATATATATGTAGCAAAATTATTTCTTATAAATTATATTAAATACTTGTGAAATACAATTAAAATTTGTTCTTCAGGTTGCAAGATCTAGTATGAAAGGGCAATAACTAACTTTCTTTTTTTTTAATTTATTTTAGCTGGGGGTGGTGGCTCAAATCTTTGACCCAGTGCTCAGGAGGCAGAGGCAGTTGGATCTCTGTGAGTTTGAGGCCAGCCTACAGAGCTAGTTCCAGGATAGCCAGAGCTACACAGAGAAACCCTGTCTCGAAAAAATTAATTTCATTACCAATGTTTTATTCAATTATTTGTCTGTGGCATGACCCAGGAGTCCAGGAGAGGACATCAGATCCCTGGGACAGAAGTTACAGAGGGTTGTAAACCACCAGGAAGGTGCCGGGAGTGGAACCCAGGTCCTCTGCAAGAGCAGACAGTGCTCTTTAACACTGAGCCATCTCTCCAGCTCCAGGTGAGCAGACTTCTGAAGGGAATTAAGACGGAAACAATGATCTGCAGCCTTTTTCATAAAGTTGAGAGCCAGAGCTCTCGCCCCGTCTGGATGAACGCCTACATTAAGGGCTATGAGCAGAACAGTAAATGACAAGCTATGAACCCTTCATCTAGCCTTTTATTTAAGTAAATAGCAAAGAGGCCGGACTCTTATGAAAAAGATTAGTACTGCAACATAGAGGATTCACATGATGCACCCTTGCCTCCCTCACCTCGCGATACATGCGTTCAGAGGTTCCTCTTACAAGTGAGGACAAAGCAAACCTCTTGGGGATTGCATCCATGTCCATCTTTAAAAATATTAATTTTATGGGTATGTGTATGACTGGTGTATGACTGAGTGTAAGTATACATGCCGTGTGCACACCTGTGGAGGTCAGAAACAGGCATTGGATCCCGTGGACCTGGCTTGACAAATGCCTGCTAGCCACCGTGTAGGTGCTGGGAATGGAACCTGTGTCCTCTGGAAGAGCAACCATTGCTCTTGACCATCCAGCAAAGAGGGTGGCAGATCCCGTGGAACTGGAGCCACAGGTAGCTGTGAGCAACCCCATGTGGTTGCTGGGAACTGAACTCTAGTCCTCCGGAAGAGCAGGTAGTATTCTGAACCCCTGAGCCCCCTTTCCGGCCCCACATCCCTGCTCTTCATCCCCACCAGCTCTGCCTGCCCTCAGCTCCTGTCATCTCATCTGGACAGCAAGCCTGATGGTGCTGTTCCTGTTCTAAGGAGCTTCAGCGTCTCCCTATGCTCGCTTATTTATTTAACTTTTGAGATGAGGTCTCAGGTAGCCCGGGCACCTCTCTAACTTGCTCTGTAGCCAAGGATGCCCTTGAACTGCTGCTAGTGTCTACGGAGTGCTGGGATTACAAGCCACCACAACTGGCTTCCCTTTGTCCCTCCCTATGTTTTGGACAGGGTTTCACGTAGCCAAGGCTGGCCTTGAACTCCTGCCTCCACCTCTCAAGTACTGGGAACACGGGCATATGTCATCATACGTGCCTTCCCTCTTTTGTTTTGTTTGGTTTTTGTTTGTTTGTTTATTTATTTTTTTTTGAGACAAGGTTTCTCTGTGTAGCCTTGGCTGTCCTGGTACTAGCTCTGTAGACCAGGTTGGCCTTAAACTTAGAGATCCACCTGCCTCTGCCTCCTGAGTGCTGCCACCACTGCCTGTCCACCTGTTTTCTTTTTAAGTTGAGACGGGCTCTCATCCTATAGCACAGTAGCCTAGAACGCACTATGTAGCCCACGCTGACCTCAAAGTTGAAATAATCCTCCTGTTTGAGCCTGGGATCACAGTTATGTGCTACCAAACCTGGTTTATTCTGTTCCTAAAAACCAAAATCTAAACCAGGCTTATTGGTGCATGCTTTTAATCCCAGCTCTGGGGTGACAGAGACAGGTGAATCTCTGTGAGTTCAAGACTTCTACATAGCAAGTTCCAGGTCAGCTGGGGCAACACAGTGAGAACCTGCCTCAAAAAAACAAAAAAAGTAAACTATTATTTATCCTATATATCACACTAATTTTTCTAGCTTCCAGCAAAACAACCAAATATCCATTATTTGACCCCTGTAAGTGGCTGCAGGTTATAGATGCTCCTCTTTGAAATAAACAGTTTTGTCTGAAAAACAACATGCTTTGCAGGAAAATGGATGGAACTGGATAACATCGTTTAAGGAAAATAAGCCAAGCTCAGAAATATGATTATCGTCTGTATTCTCTACACACACACACACACACACGCACACGCACATGCACACGCACACACACACGAATGACATGAAAGGAGAAGGCAGACAGGCAACAGGGGAGGAATAACTGATTAAATAGCCCAGGGTGGCTTGGAACTCACTATGTAGCCCAGGCTGGCCTCAAACTCATGATCCTCCTGCTCCAGCTTCCCAAGTACTAAAATTACAAGCGTGTGCCATCGTACCCGCTGGATAGCTTTTAAATACACAAAATCTCACTCGGTCCCCCCTTCTATCCCTTTAGGGATCAACTGTCATATATTCCTTTTCTTTTTCATTTACAGACATTCGCTGTGGACATAGTGAAGTATCCCAGACTCAGCTATCTGGAACCTAGCTATAATGTATACATATGCAGATGAGTGCGGGTGAGCGTGAGCCATTGCATTAAAAGGGGACCATGGGGGGGGGGATCGAGGGGGAGGCGACAAGACACAGGTGACGTGATGAAAGGACACTATAGGGGAGGGAATAGGAGGGGATACGTAGGGTCAGAAGAATTAACATAAAAGAATCATGTTTGAAAATGCTACAATGAAACCTGGAAGTGTATATTCTAATTAAAATATTTTAAATAAAGGAAATAATAATAAAAATAAACAAGACAGAGAGATTTCATTTATGCTTTACCATCGCTGTCTTTTTTTTTTTTTGAGACAGGGTTTCTCTGTGTAACTGTCCTGACACTCACTCTGTAGACCAGACTGGCCTCAAACTCACAGAGATCCACCTGCCCCTGTCTCTCGAGTGCTGCTGGGATTACAGACATGCACCACCACCTCCCGGCCACACTGTTCTACAGCATCATTTAAACTGATCTTTGGGGAACAAGTGCTGACTTTAGCTTTTCTGAGACACAGAGCTTCATGGGGTCTTTCTCCCCCGACACCAACTGTCATGTTTACTTTGCAGGCACTGTGTGGGAGTTTAGCAGGATACAGACAGAGCCGCTGCCTGTGTCTGTCCTGTGCTCTCTAGTCTGAGGAGATGCTGCCGCAGGAAGCTGGGGTCCTCGGGCCTCCTTTCCTGGCCTCGCCAGCCACCAGCCATGGCACCTTCCACCATCCTCTCAGCTTGAGGCTGGGACCTCAGCTTGCATTTTTCCACCAAACCAACCCATGCTGGGCCCCTCCCTTCCTCAGGAGCTCCTTGCTTATGCGGCTGTTTGGAAGGAACCCACTGTCTGTATAGCCCACCTCTTCTGAGAACTACTTACTCCCTTCATCTGCAGCGGGGTGGTCACTCATGTTGACACCCTTGGCCACAGCTGATGAGGAATAAATACATGATGGAACTTTCTTCTTCACACACAGTCAAGAGCTGCATGGATTCTGTTTCTACCACATGGTCTGGGAGAGGAGGAAGCCGGTGGACAGCCACACCAGTGAAAGCAGAGCGGAGGTAGAGTCACGCTGAGCTGTGCTGAGAGCTCTGACCCAGCAGCCAGAGGAGCCCACTCCAACAATTCCTGGCACCCCGTCCCAGGACAAGCCCTTCTGCTAAGCTTCGCTTCAGTTAGCCAGTCTTTCCTCCAGAACTTCCTTTCTTTAAAAAGAACACACTTGGGGCTGGATAGATGGCTCAGTGGTTAAGAGCACTGGCTGTTCTTCCAGAGGTCCTGAGTTCAATTCCCAGCAACCACATGGTGGCTCACAACCATCTGTACTGAGGTCTGGTGCTCTCTCCTGGCCTTCAGGCATACACACAGACAAATATCGTATATATAATAAATAATAAATAAATAAATGAAAAATTAAAAAAAAAACACACTTTCTTTAAACCCATGCAACAGAGCTTTCTAGGCATCCTGATTGACTTTCTTTTAAAATTCATTCAGTACTTTACCACATAAGGTTGGAGTTTTGCCTTTTAAGCCTCCCCATCCTCTTACATCTCTGCTCAAGGTTTTCCTTTTCTTTCTCTGAAGTTTCCCAATTTCCAAGTTTCCAGGTTATGTGTGAACCTACCCAGTGCCCACTGCCCTCCATTAAGACAATCTCGATGTGACCCTTACTCTCTGCTGGGGTCCCTGTCCCTTCCACTTCACCAGGCCATGGGGATGTTCTCCTCTCCCAAGCCCTGCTTCCCTCAGTCCTGACAGGAAAGAAAGCCAGCTGAGGCCAGCGGGATGGAGGCTGGCTCTGATTTCTGGGTGATTATGGATCACTCCTTCCTCATACGCGTTTCTGGGTCTTTCTGGACCTGAGTGACTCCTGCTGACACAGCACTTCCTCTGATCTGAATCTCCCTGCAGCCCCATGCAAGAACAGGGAGAGCAGAGTGAGAAGTTCTGCGTCTATCAGGTTGTGGGGGTGGAAGGCAGTGGGGAGTATTGTTAGGTAGAACGCCCTAGTTCACCGGAAGAGACGAAACAGAAAAGATGGGTCTGAAAGCCACACTTTGAAACTGTTAGGGAAGGACCACCGGTGAGCCAGAGGCTTTGAAGCAAAGGCCACGTGGAATGGGTATGAAAGAGGGAAGGACAGAAATGTCTGTCCGCGATAAGAAGAAACCAATCTGGAGCAGCAGTGTGAGTTCTACGGTCATGATGGGACAGAGGCCATAAACCAGAGAAATGGCTTAGAGGATGAGCCTATAAAAAAGGTCACCAGAGGGACACAATATATTACAGCATAGGATAGTATGGCACTATCAGAAGTGACATAATAAGAGTATAGAAGAGAAAACATTGTGGTTATAAACAGGTTACAGGGCTGGAGAGATGGCTCAGCACTGGCTGCTCTTCCAGAGGACCTGGGTTCAATTCTCAGCACCCACATGGCAGCTCCTAACCATCTGTAACTCCAGTTCTCGAGGATCCAGTGCCTTCTCCTGGCTTCTCTGGGCACCAAGTATGCACTGTACAGACATATACATGCAGGGAAAATACTCATTCACAAAATAAAACCTTAAAAGTTTAGAAAAGTAGGCTACAAACTAGTATATCCGGCGAAGTCCAACTCCTTGGAAAGGAGACACCCTCACAGGGACGATGCCTGTGTTCGAGCTGAGCTGGAGATGCATGCAATGCTGCACACAAGCAGGTTGTTGAGTCTGGTAAATGTCCAGATTCTGATTTCGCAGGTGTGGGGAGAGGAGGTCTATGTCTAGCAGGTGCTTGGTAACTGGGCTGCTGGTCCTCACACCGGCAGTGTGCGGCATATGATGGGTGATGGACAGTGTACATCCTCCTCTTTCCCTGGTAACTGGGCTGCTGGTGCTCACACAGGCGGTGTGCGGCATATGATGGGTGATGGATGATATACATCCTCCCCCTTCCTTATCTTACACCTATACTCTAATTTATATGGGGTTTGGAAAGGGAAAATCAATGATTTTATATTGTTCTATGCTATGACAAAATAAAAAAATTTTCAAAGAGAACAAAATGGCTGGCATGGTGGCACATGCCTGAAATCCCAACACTGGAAAGACTGAGGCAGGAGGATTGTGAGTTTGAGGTAATCTCAAGCTACAAAGTAAGTTTTAGAATAGTATGAGAGATATGTTAGACTCTAACTCAATAAGCAGATACATAACATACACATACATATAAACACCCACATATACATACACTCATACACACATACATACTACATGCATATTACATACACACATACAAAACATGTGAGAGGAGCAAAAGGTGAAGCAACTCAAAGCATCGGGAAGACACTATACTTCTGCGCAGAGGAACCAACATAAAGTTCAGCCAACAAAGGAGACGTGCACAGAGAGCACAGAGGACAGGGGTGGTTCTGGTCACACGTTTAGGAATTTAAGTCTTGAGAAAGACTCATCCTACCCCTTTTGAAGGAATTTTCTATGAGAAGCAAGGAGTGGAACCTGGGCAGAGCTAGAACGCTAGCAAGAACCTCTAAAAGGCAGAACACAGATTAAGCCTCTGCCTAGAATATACTGGAGTTGTAAGGCAGCCAGGAATTTGGGACCAGGGGAATTTCAAGGTCAAGCAGGTGGCTGGGGAAAGCTGGCTTATCTGTTTCCTTGGGCTTGAGGACGGACTGTGCAGGACAGTCCCTGCCTGCAGGAAATCGATGAGACTGGGTGCAGTAGGGCACACTTGTAGCCCCAGCGCTCAAGAGATGGAGGGAGGCCAGCCTGAGCCACATAAAGTAAGATCACATCTCAAAACTAAAAGAGGAAAACGAAAATCAGGTTGGGTGACAGCAGCCAGGCTGAGTGGTATACAACACCAAATGATGAGTCATGGCTTCCTGGGGGCTTTCATCACCGATGGGGAGACGCCAGGTGCCCTCAGCTCCATAGCCGACACCCAGGGCTGGGCCCAGACTGAGATAAGGAGGTAGGTGGTGGTGTCTGCTGCCGAAGCGTGTACGGAAACACCGCCACTTGTCACGTTATCACAAGTCGTAACATTTTTATCAGCTGTCATAAAATGTTTTATAATACTAACTTGAAGTAAATATCAAAGTCACTACAGTTTAATGATAAACTGTCAGTTCCTGAAGTGGGCTGGGGCCGACGATCGAGGCTGGACTTAATGGTCACTTGGGTAAATGGAGAAGGAAAAGTGGTCTTAAGAACCTGAGAGATCCATTCTTCCATTGAAGGGCATCTAGGTTGTTTCCAGGTTCTGGCTATTACAAACAATGCTGCTATGAACATAGCTGAGCATATACTTTTGTTGTATGATAGGGCATGTCTTGGGTATATTCCCAAGAGTGGTATTGCTGGGTCCAGGGGTAGGTTGATCCCGAATTTCCTGAGAAACCACCACACTGCTTTCCAAAGTGGTTGCACAAGTTTGCATTCCCACCAGCAATGGATGAGTGTACCCCTTTCTCCACAACCTCTCCAGCAAAGGCTATCATTGCACATACTGTCTTTGTGGGAGCCTAGGCTGTTTGGATGTTCACCTTACTAGACCTGGAAGGAGGTGGGAGGTCCTTGGACTTCCCACAGGGCAGGGAACCTGGTCTGCTCTTCAGGCTGATGAGAGAGGGGGTGCTGATTGGGGGAGCGGGAGGGATATGGGAGGCGGTGGCGGGGAAGAGACAGAAATCTTTAATAAATAAATAAATAAGTAAAAGAACCTGAGAAAAATTCTGTTTTCGTTTTCATTTGGTTTTGTTTTGTTTTTGTTTTTTTTTGAGATAGGATTTTTCTATGTTGCTTTGGAGTCTCTCCTGGAACTAACTCTTGCAGACCAGCCTGGCCTCGGACTCGCAGAGATCTGCCTGCCTCTGGGATTAAAGGTGTGTGCCACCACCGCTCAGCTATTTTTAAGATCCTCACAAACAGACTTGACTATTTTTTTGCTATAAAAGTTTAGAGAATAAATGGATGCAGGGTATGTATTTCCTAGACAGACAGTAGTAATGGCCAATCATTAAAAACAAAACAAACAAAACAAAAAAACCAATGGCACAAAACCCAGGACACGGACACATGCAATACTACCTTCCAGAATGTCAGCTGTTCTCCTGAATAGAAAAGTAGATAGATCTAGAACCCAGCACTCAGGAGGTAGAGGCAGGAGGATCTGTGGGGAGTTCAAGGCCAGCTTGGTCTATATAGTAAGTTCCAGGCTAGCCATAGCTACATAGAGATACCTCAAAAAAAAAAAAGAAAAAAGAAAAAAAAAAGAAAAAGAAAAAGGAAAAAGGGTAAGGGAGAAAGGCTAAGCTAAGCTTGATGTGTGCACGGAAGACATAAAAGTGGGGCATACAGTTAAGAAACAGCAACTGCAGGGGGTCTTAACACACAGAGAATAAAACCACATCGATTTCCAAACTGATAAACTGGAAAATTCACCATTCGCACATTTACCTGTATAAGAGGGGACAAAGGTCACCTGGAAACTATTTGATTGCTATTATTTTAAAACTCTACCATATTCTGTATGACAAATTTTGTTCCATAATTTTGAAGGTAACTTCCATCTCGAAAAATGCCAGTACAAGCAAACCTAAAATGACTCAAGCTGTTCTTCAGAAGGGACTGGACCCTGCTTGCCACTGACCGCATTGAGTTTTACTTCAGGGAGAAAGACTCCACCTCACGGCAGGTGACTTGTCCCAGTTGGCACAACACTGCATAGCAGGCTGGTCTTTGTCCCAGTTGGCACTTCGCTGAAGTCTCCTGACTTTTACACTCTCTCTTGCTCGCTATGGTCTCAGTGGCTTCTTCCCAACCATGTACCTCTCCTGGGCTGCGATTGCTAGGTCCCCAGCAGTCACTGACTGCAGCCCAGGAACTCACCCGCCCAGCAGCTCACTTCTTGTGTACTTTGCAAACCTAAAGCGGCACGACCGATCTTTTTTCCTTCCATAATTTGGACACATCCACTCTCAAACTGGTCCCAAAACACCATGGATCTGTGGCTGCCCCAAGGTCCTAAATGGTTTTCCCGCCCCGGGACATCCTTTTTACTCTCACGCCACCCCTGTGCCTGCCAAAAGTCTTTTGAAACCTCTCTCCAATTCCTTATTTCCAGGAAATACTCCCGAGTATCCTGGGTTCTCCTGGGCTCTTCCGTGCCTCCCACCTCATGCCTGACTCGTCATGCTCAGAGAACAGGTGTTTATTTCTTCCCCGAGAAGCCTTACTCTCTCTTTTTCTCACATACCCAGCCCAGGACTTGAGCACACAGTGGAGAGGGGAGGAAGCTGTCAGCTGACCTGGCCACCCAGTCCCCATTCTCCACTTTGGGATACTTACGGTTTCCACAGTTGAGACCACCAAGACCAAACGGGCAACTGGAAGTCAAGAGAGGCAAAAGAAGACTCAGATTCAAGTCTCAAAAGCTATGACAATGTGATGCATGTGAGAAACTTCTTTTCTTAGGATAGATTCTCTATTAGGATGGCCTGTCTTTCTGTTTGTTTGTTGTTTTGTTTTTCTTGTTGCCCTGGCCATCCTGGAACTCTCTCTGTAGACCAGGCTGGCCTAGAACTCAGAGATCTGCCTGCCTTCGCCTCCCAAGTGCTGGAATTAAAAGTGTGTGCCATCACCATCCACCTGGATGCTCTGTCTTTTAGGGTATTTAAAAAAAAAAAAAAAAACATTTGTAACAACTTCATCAGAAAAAGCGAATAGGGAACCCACCTCATACAGGTTTCGTTTTCAAGCCTGTATCCATCTTCACATGCTAAAAGAGAAAAGGAAAATCCATGAGGGTCCATGGGAGCAGAGCTCACATTTAATTAAACACCAGCCACCCCAAAGTTCACAAGAATATTCTAGAAAACAAAAGTTTTTAAATTATCTATATCCTGACCTGAACACTGTTGTCATCTCATCTCTTAAAGGAATCACGAAACTTTTCTTGACCTCGGTGTGTCTCAGTTCCCATCAGTAAAAAGAAGGTTATGAGAGAATAGTAATAACAGTGGCCTCTTAGAGGAGGTGACATATCTTAGCCCTCTTCCACGAGGAGGCTGAAGTGGTGGATGACATCCTCTGGAGCCCAGTCCTTATTGTTGCGCTTACCCTATAATCTTTGCCAGAGATTTCAGATGTGCCTAGATGTGTTCTAATTTTCACCTTGCCAAGAACATAGTTTTGAACCCCCTGGGCCCACTGCATAGACGATGGCCCAGCTCTTCTCCTGGGCCAGCAGTTTTCAAGCTTGTCTGATCATAGGATACTCTCAACATTAACATAACTCAGCCAAACACCAGGGATGGAAACTCACGCATGAATGAATGCCGACAATGAAAAATGACCGCGTACCCAAATTCCTTGCTGCAAGGAATGATACACTTTTTGATTCATGATTAATGTCTGATACACATCGCATAAGAGATCAGATTAAAAAAAAACACAGAATGTAGAGCTGCCAACAGGGAGCAGACAGAGACACAGTGGGGAGGAGTTGTGAGTGGCAAGGGCAAGCGAGCACGGGCTGGGGATTGGATGGCGGATACACACCCTGCAGGCTGGGACAGGAGGTCTCACAGGCTTCCCGTGTTCTGCCACAAATTTGTGCATAACAGTATCATCTGTGTAGATGATATTTTCCTTCTTTACATTTCTAATGCTAGAAGCTAAATATTCCCAGCATCCATGTTACTGTCATGCAGCATACATTAGCTGCAACAGTTCTGTGGAATGCAGTTTGAAAACACTGTTCCAAATCATCTGAAATCAATCTCATCACCAACCATGAAAGGTCTGTGGATGCGATGGGTTTTGCAGACTCACTTTTCCTGAGCAGCAGCAGCAGCCACAGAAGTCCCTGCAGGAAGCTATACCTGCTGCAATACCACGGTAACCTCTTAGTGAGCATGCCCAGAGAAACTTCGGTGGGCCTCACAGCCTAAGAAGATAGGGAGTCTCCTTTTATGAGCTCTGACCCTTTCGAGTCATGATCTTGCTGGGTCTGCGTTAGGATCCGAGCTTAGACCTTCAGTGCACGGCTTATGTTGTCAAATACGCTCTTTAGCTTTTTGCAAGTTCGCTTTCCTTCCAGTCTCAACAGAGTAGCCAGTTTTCCCTTCAACCTGACTTACCCTTTAAATATGCACATTTGCCGACTTGCAACTCACAATTCTCCTGCTTCAGTTTCCCAAGGCTGAGGTCATGGGCATGTGACACTATGCCCATTACCTTTCGTCCCCCCATGCCATTCCTAACCAGCCAAATCTATGATATAATAATGATAATAATAATAATAATAATATCTCTTTAGCAGGGTGTGATGTTACATGCTTTTTAATCCCAGTGTTCTGGAGGCAGAGGGGGTCTTTGTGAGTTTGAGAGCAGCCTGGTCTATGTAGTAAGTTCCAGACCAGTCAGAACAACACAGTGAGACCCTATCTTGAAAAGAAAATCACTTTATTGTAATGAACTCACGAACAAAAACATCACTCAGTTACCTAATGTGGGATTCCCCTCTGTATGCTTTGAATATGTTTTATTACCATTGGTTAATAAAGAAGCTGTTTTGACCAATGGTTTAGCATAGTAAGCAAGGTGAGAAATCTGAACAGAGATATAGAGAGAAAGTAGGCGGAGTCAAGGAGACTCCATGTAGCTGCCAAAGGAGAAGGACCTGGAACCTTTCCAGTAAGCTACAGCCTCGTAGAAATACATAGATTAATAGAAATGGGTTAATTCAAGATGTAAGAGCTAGCTAGAAATATGCCTGAGTCATTGGCCAAACAGTGTTGTAATTAATATAGATTCTGGTTGATTATTCGTGTCTGGGTGGCCAGAAAATGATCGAGCAGTCTCCACCTACAGATACGCACACAAATATACACTGCCCTGTCCCATTCTATACATTTCAATCAACTTCTATAGAGTTGGAGCTTCGCTTAGGGTTTTGCTGTTTTTATCTTTGTTTTGTCTGTTCGTTTGAGACAGGGTTTCTCTGTGTAGCTCTGGTTGTCCTGGAACTTGCTCTGTAGACCAGGCTGGCTTCCAACTCAGAAATCTACCTGCTTCTGCCTCCCAAGTGCTGGGATTAAAGGTGTGCACCACCACCTGGCTTCACACAGGGTTTCACACTTTAATTATTAATTACATTTTTTATGCAGTTATCCACCACAGAAAAAGAAAAAAAAAAAACCTTACAACATAGTTGAAACTAGACAAATAATTAGCTTTATATTCTTTTTCAAGATTCATGTCTTTTTGCTCTCATTTGGACCCTCTTCATTATCTGGCATTATCCTTACTAGGTCTCTTTTCTAAATGTTATATTATACCCATACTTACAGCTGTGCATATATACATGTCGACATTACAAGCCAGGATTAGGCATATAAGGGAGAACATGCGATTTTGTTTTTCTTCCAGAATTTGGTGAGCTTGCTAAACACTATACCTTCTGATTCCCTCTATTTCTTGAAAATTTCTTGCTCTCCTTTTTCTTTTTTTAAGATTTATTTATTATGTATACAATGTTCTGCCTGCATGTATGCCAATAGGCCAGAAGAGGGCATTAGATCTCATTACAGAAGGTTGTGAGCCACCATGTGGTGGCTGGGAATTGAACTCAGGACCTCTACAAGAGCAGCCAGTGCTTTTAACCTCTAAGCCACCTCTCCAGCCCCTCCTTTTTCTTTACAGCTGAATAATGTTCCATTTCATTTTGTATATGCGACATATTTTTATTATGTCTCTGTTGATGGGCATCTAGGTTGGTTTCGTGTCCTTGTTATCAAAAGCAAAGCAGCAATAAACACGGGCTTGTAACTATCCCTCTGGAAGGGCATGGGTGCTCCAGGTAGATGCCAGGACTGGAACAGCCGACTCATGTAGTTCTATCTTTAGTCCTTTAAGGACCTCCCACTGACTTGCATACTGCTGTATCTATCTGTACCCCCATCAGCAGTGGATGGGGGTTCCTGTGCCCACATCCTCTCTAGCGTTTGTTGTCAGATCTGTTGATGCAAGCCATTTCTAGTAGGGTGCGGTGCTATCTCAGAGTAGCTTTGGTTTGCTTTCCCTGATGACCGGGAATGCTGAGCACTGTTAAAATAGTTTCTTCCTTTGAAAAGTACTTGTATGTTTCATTCTGTCTGCCCAGTCAGTATGTTTTCAAATCTGTATTTATCTATTTGTTTTTACTTACGTGTGTGTGTGTGTGTGTGTGTGTGTGTGTGTGTGTGTGTGTGTGTGTGGCTATGACTGTGGCTGTGTAAATGCCGTGGGGCACAAGTAGGGGTCAGAGAACAATTCTCAGAAGTCAGTTCTTTTCTGCTATTTTTGGGGTATGTGGGAATTGAACTCAGTCCCTCAGGCCCATGTCCCTGCCCACTAAGCTATCCTGCTGCCCCCTTTAATCTTTTGTCTTTTTATAAATTTTATATTTATTATTATTGTGGTTGCTGTTGTTGTTTGAGACAGGATTGCTCTGTGTAGCCCTGGCTGTCCTGGAACTCACTTCGTAGACCGGGTTGGCCATGAACTCAGAGATCCAGTGCTGGGGTTAAAGGCATCAGTGTCTCAACCGCCTGGTTCATTATATAGCTTTTCAATAGGTGTTTCAAACCCTTTATTATACAAGCTAGAGTAATCATATCCTATTTCGAGAGGAGATGAGGCTGCATTCCCCCATCTTTGACTCCTTGAGTTCTCTTCGAGTCTTAGGAAAGCAAGGACTCCTCTATGGAACAATCAGAGTGATCCTGCCTTTTCCTGGTCTGAGTAGAAAGCTTCACGCCCCCGCTCATGCTCCCCCTCCTAGCTCTGCCAGCATGCTCTAGTGGGGCTGTGGGGATGAGGGAAGCCCCTGAGGGATGCTTTCTGGCTCAGACTGCAGGAGCGCTCCACGGGGACAGCTCACCTCTCCGCCTGCCTCGGCACAGAGGGGGACTGATGTCACCAGGGCATTCTATTCCGGACACTCTTCCTGCAAACATTTTTACATCCATCTACACACCCAACCCTCATCTGCTGGGTGGGCGCTCTCCACTCTTGGCTGTCCCCAGCCATGCACAAGGGCCATCTGTTGTCCTGCCTATGAGCTCCAGCTGGTGGCTTGAGCTATTTTCATGTAGCATCAAAAGTATCCTGACTCCCTGATGGAACATTTCTTTAATCAAAAGGACATAGGTTGGTGGGGCTGCTCATTGGGTAAGGACATTGCCACCAAGCCTGATGACCCGCGCTTAAGCCTCAGGACCTACATGGTGGAAAGAGAAGAGATTCCATCAAGTTGTCCTCTGACCACCACATGTATGTATTCACAACGAAGAAATGAACAAATATATACATGGAAAATATTTTTTTAAAGGGTGTATTCATCGTGTGTGTTCCTGTGTGCCCGGTGCTGCTCTTGGGACTTTTAGGGGAAACCTTGCCGGTAAAGACACTCCCAGTTCCTCCTCGCACATACCCCAGAGGGATTCTGACCCCAGAGCCCTAGAGACAGAACAAATGTGGCCAGAATTTGCATGGCTTCACTGGGTTTCTCCTACGGCTAAGGGTTCAAAATCAAGCTTAAAGAACGTGATGAAGTTTGAATAACTACTTCACAGGACACAAAGTCGAGATGTACTGATCCCAAGACATATTTGTTGCCCTGTGGTCACTTTAATAGATATGTGAACACTACTTACAACATGCTAAGTCCTATCCTCAGTACAGTTTTGGCTCCTGAGGTGCTTGTCATCTGAAGAGACCAAGACTTAGAATCTGGGCTGCGGAGAAGGCTCAGTGACTGAGAGCATTTACGGCTATGCCAGGAGATAGGCGTTGGGCTCCCAACCATCTGTAACTCCCACTGTGGAGGACATGACGCCCTCTTCTGGACTGCTAGGCTACTTGCACATGTGTAGCTGATATACAGATATCCAAACACATAAAATTAAAATAAAATTTTGCTAGGGGTGATGGTGCATGTCTTTAATCCCAGCACTAAGGGGGGCAGAGACAAGCAGATCTCTGTTCAAGTTCAGCCAGTTCTACATAGTGACACCTGTTTTTTTTTAAATACAAAGCCCCTCCCCCAAAAATACCTTTTATAAATGCTAGTCTCAATCCAGTCAGAAGGAGGGGGGGAGGTTGCTAGCACGGAGAAACCCAGGAAGGACTCATATTTTAATTTTAAATGTCTGTGCTCCAGCACGAATGGCCAGAAGATGTCACTGCTAGCCCATGGCAGAGCTAGATTTCACAAAACTCTGGAATCCATTCATTAGAGAGAGGCCCACGACCACTGCTTGAGATGGGGCCTCATGGGACTTCAACAATCCCCAAGGTAAGTCAAGGTTCTCCCAGGCTGCTTCTTGGTCATTACCAGGTAAACAAAGTTGGTGGCACCTGTGTCACTTAAAGGCACACATACTGAAAATGAGAACGTGGAAAGGACCACGGCGACATATGCCTGAGATCGTTGGGACGCTGAGACAGGAAGATCCTGAGCTTGAGCACAGCGGAGCTACCTTTATATCGAGTTCTAGGTGAGCTTGGGCTACAAAATGAGATCATTTCTCATTTCTCCCCTCAAGTCATGGCAAATCTGGCCAGATCTCTATATGGCAGAGGAGTAAGAAATGTGTACGTTTTTTTGTTTGTTTTTTGTTTTTGTCTAAATTGCTGTAATTCAAGTTATACACTGTCAAGTGTTTATATGTATACACACATGCCTCTTACAGTCTCACAGGTATCACTATACTGCCTTTGCCATAATTCCAAAGCTACATATAAAATTGAAGGAGATGTCCTTCTTACAGAGGCTTGCCCAATGCCACCAAGGTTGCCTCTAAGAGACAGTTAGGACATTGCTGACTTGGAAGTAGAAAGAAGTGGCCCAAGCCAGTCAGGAGCAAGGGTGGCCGGCAGGGCCACTCTTGAAGGCCACTAGGTTCATGAGGCCAGCTCCTCTGCACACCTATGGTCCTGGTAACACACAGCACACAACACAGTATCACAACACACACTGACTTCAGTGCCATCATTTTCCCACGTGCAGCTGAGCTCCAGCCCCCATTTCTGAGAAGGGCAGAGAAGCAGATAAGAAGGGGTTGGGGAGCATGGTTTCTTTGAGGCAAAGCAACAGTCTGGCACAGCCATGAGGGGCTGGGGACCAAGCACACCAGGCCTGAAGCCCAGCTCGGAAAGCGGGTGTTCTTCTAAACCTATCACAGTTCCCACGCGGAAGGCTGACGTGGGACCTCAAGAGAATTTTCTATCTAAACCTAAACCATCAGAAGGTCTAAGGTTTAAGGTCTAAGATCAAAGGGCTGTCCCGAATATATTTCTGTATTCTTTTGATTAAATGAGTCTTCTAAGGGGAAGTCCTGACCCCAGTGACATGCTACCGTGCCCCTGTATGTGAGTTTTCTCTAGGATCCCCATGTATCCGTCACTAAGAAGGTGTTGGCTGAGCAGGAAATCTGTGCCATTCACACTGTAACTAGAGCTGGCGCTCTGTAAGAAAGTAGTCTCTATCTGCCAGCCTTGCTGATCACCACAGACTGTAGCAGGCTTCAGAGCCAGGGCACACAGCACTCCAGGTCTGAATAAAATTGATTTTAAGGCAAGTTTTTTGGACCACACTCATCGAGCGTGATCTTTGTCTCAAATGAAGTGAATGTCTTCCACTTCTTCTAAAAGACTGGCAGAATGGGGCTAGGGAGATGGCTCAGTGGTTAAGAGCACTAGCTGCTCTTCCAGAGGTCCTGGGTTCAATTCCCAGCAACCACATGGTGGCTCACAACCACCTCTAGTGGGGTCTGATGCCCTCTTCTGGCCTGCAGGGATACAAGCAGTACACTCATATATAAAATATAAATAAAAAAAACCCTTTTTAAAAAGGCTGGCAGAATTAGATTTCTACTCTCCAACACACCAAGAAATCTTTAAAATGTTAACCCATCAAATGCACAGCAACCTAGATAAATACAAGAGCAAGTCCCCACAGGTTTCAAAGCACAGCCTTAGATACGGCTTTCTGTCGTTCTTGGGACAGCTGATGAAATGTCACCACATTCCTTTCAAAGAAGTGGAAACTGAGGCTCAGAGAAACTAAGTGGCTGCTTAAGATGAAACCTAATCAGTGAGGCAGAATGTGGCTCTGGTGTCCCGGGTGTCCTGGGTGTCCTGAGCATCACTGAGTACACTCACTACTGAGTCACAGTGGCCCCTGAAAGACCCAACCCAGGCCCTACTCTGAGCCTGTATTTTCGCCGTAATGGTTAATAAGCAACAGGCAAAGCTTTTGGGATAAGAACAATTTTTCTAACCTCTTCTAACTGGAAGGGAGGTGAAGGGGACTCTTGCGATCGCTTCCTGGAAGGGATGGGAGGGAACCCCTCTGATATCTTCCATTCTCTTTCCTCTTGAGCAGGACTGGCTAGACTAGCGTGCAGCAGTAGATACATGCAAGGCGATACTGTATCCACTCCTGCCGCCAGCCTAATAGCAAGAACCAGTTACTCCTAATTTAGAAACATCTCAGCCAGAGCAGAGCCCACCCACATGGTATGTGCTGCACCTGCCTAGCTCAGGAAGGTGTCTAGAACTGCTAGGGACCCACAGCTACCTCGGCAAGAGTGATCCATCTTGTTGAACTGAAAGTAGCCGGACTTGCACTGACACAGCGCCACGCCATCCAGGTCGGTGCAGATGGAGGTCTCTTTGTCACACTCTGGACTCTTCCGCTTGCACAAGCTGCCCGCTGAGATGGGAAAACAAGACGGTGAAACCAAACCAAACCTCGTCTTCACACCTTACAATGCATGAACTTGTTATTTCAAGAGGTTGAGAGTCTCCTCGGAGCCATACTCCTCCCAGAGGACCTGCACAGCCTCTGCACCTTGTTTCCGGGTCACTGCCGGTAAATAAGTATTCACAAGCATTCCCTGCGGAGAAACCAAACCGAGGAAGGAAAAGGCACTGCCCAATCTACAAACGCAGCCTCTGTGTGGCTTATTCTGTACCCTCATGTTAAAGGACTGGGTCTTGGGGCAGGTAAGAGAGCTGGAACAAACCCAGAAAATGTGACTATGTTCTTAGGGAGTTGAGCTCTTGGACCAGTTCCGGCCAGACCAGTCTCAAGTGGAAGCATATCTGGGCTCTGTGTGTCCTCAGGGGCCTAGGACGACTCCTTAGGGTAGGGAAACTTGCTGTGCCCCCGTGTGCTGCCTTTTTCGGGTTGATTACAGGGCTGGGGTTGAATGGGAATCTGGCTCCTCAGGCTGGTAGGAAGCTGTTTGTCTGGCTGTCTTCCCACTATGGTGGTGGTTTCTTGAGGTTTATTCAGCATAGGGTCTTCAGTACAGAGACCAGCAAGTGAGCATGTGTGGGCTGGGGGGTGGGGTGGTGGCCCTACTGGCCTGTCAGTCACTCCACCATCAACAGAAGCAGGCAAGGAAGGAGGCCAGCTTTAAGGGCACTTCCATGTTCATTTGTGAGTGTTATTTACCTCACTGGTGATGAAGAACCTGTTTATCAGTAGCAAAAGCATCCACTGCTGGGCACACAGTCCTTTGTGAGGTTTTATACAGCAAACACAATGAAGGCTACATTTCACTACCCGAGATAGACAAAGGGGCACTGGGAAATGGTGCACAGAAGGAACAGGATTATGAAACCAACTCGACAGAAACACATGTACACGGCAAAGGAAGTCAGATGTGTGCTGTTGCTGATGGGGGCCAACAGTGAGTTTAACGTGGGACAAGAGCAGCAATGAGACAGGCGGTATGTGCATTGCTGTACAATGAAGAGTGGGTGTCAGTTTTGTAGGCATGGTATCCCCTCTTCTATCTCAGAGAAAAGACCCCAAGCTCTTCAGAAGGATCCTGTTATTGACACTGCAAAATTAACCCTTGTCTGGGCAAGTTCTGGTGATGCGAGCTGATGCCAGGGCTTAACAGCCCACGTGGAGCTCCCAGCATCCACCCCTCTGAGAGACAGCCTGGCCCCAGCGGGGTGAGTTAGGGTCCAGCTTCAATTCTCAGTGCAGAATTTCCTGCCTTTATCAGTGCAGCTGACGTGCTAAATCGGAGTTCCTTTGTTCATTGTGAAAAGTTTGTATTTAAGAGGAAACTTAAACGGGAAACAGTCTCACCAGGCAAACTCTGCAGAGCTGGCACCAGGGAGGACCTCAGCCTCCACAACCTCTTATCCTACTTCTCTGAAGGCTCTGCCAGTCAACTGGTTAACAGAGAGTAACACCTCTGGGATACAGCCTTGTTCAGGCCATCCTAGCCTGGGAAATGCCTGGTCTGATTAGGTATTTTCTGGAAGCTAATGTTAAATTTTCCTTCCATCCTCTCAACTGATCTGGGCTGCTGGCAGAGACAGTCATTGCCATGTTAAAGCAGGCATTTCCTGCCCAGCATCAGACTCCTGTTTGAACAGGGAGGGCAGGTGCTGCCCCCCCCTCCACCCCACGAGGAGCCACTTTCAGCCTTCACAAAGAACATCTTTCGTAAAGCCACCCAACAGGACCTTGCGGAGTCTCACTTCAGTCGATCCCTGGTGATGGGAGACTTCGGCACTCACAATTCCCACGGTCTTTCCTGGACATTAGCATCCAGCAAAACAGACAATGGGCACTCACGTGTGTCTAAGGTTGAGGCATTCCACGGGGGATTTCCACAGTCCCTAAACCTCAGGAGACCAAAAGAACAAGAGGACTTTGAAAGAAGGAAGGTAGACATCTAGGGAACTGGAGGAGAAAACCGTGCTTGCCAGTAACAATGTCGAGGGCAGCCTCGCTGCCCAGAGGCTGGAAATCCATATGTGTAGCGCCTGCTGGTCTACTACCTCTCTAGCTCCAGAAAAATTACCAAGAGACAGAACTGGACCTCTTGGTCAAACCTAGAGAAGGTCTGGAGGAAAAACGGGGACGTGGGCCCAATCCTGGCTAATACGCGCGACTGTCTTTATTCTCAAGGGACTGGAAAGGAGCAGTGGGGATGGTCTCAAGGTGACCAGTGACTGGTGACTGGAGTCTTCCCATAAACCACATGGGGGCAGACCAAGCAATGCAGCTGAGTGAGCAGGCACAGCTAGGAACAGGTTCTTGCAAATCCATGTAACCACCCACTTAATCTGCAAGGCACAGATGCATTGCTGGCAACAGGAAAGTGCCCTGGCTCAACGCTGACCACACAAAGTGCAGTCCAGAGATGGTTAGCAAACTGTAGGGTACCTACCTCAGGGGGAAGAAAAAAAATGGTACCCTTGAGTCCTTGGCAAGAGAAACAAAAACATAAAACCAGAGAGCCTCAAAGTTTCCAGCACACTGTAACAGGGCATGGACTTTGAAACAAGACACTCTGACTCTCCCCGGTCCCGTCCATTTCCCCCATTACTAAGCAGCAGCCCCCAGGAGCTTCTCTGACAATGGAAGGACAAGCGCCAACTCCAAAGCTCTGCGGTGCACTCGCCCATGCAAGGGAAGCCCTTGGACCAGCAGTTATGAAACCCTGACCTACTGGGAATACCCTAGACCAACCAGCGGATATGGCACCAAAACCCGATACCTTCAGCTTGTGTCTAACATCTGGATGCCAGATGGGGAGGCTTAGCCTAGGCTCTCCTTCCTTTGCCAGCTCTCATCCAGGGGTACAACAAACTAACCAGAGTCCACTTTGATCACTTACAATGCGCCAACAGGGACTAGCTCTGTCTTTGCCTAGAGGCGGTTCTGATTGCAGCAAGTTTCCTCTCCCAGATGTCAAACTACCCCACAAGAGGCAAGTGTGCCTTCCAGAGTTGTCTTTAAATGCCTTCTTCACTGGCCTTCCCCTAACACGAGCCAAGAGCCTCTGACAAAGGAGCCAAGGACCGAGGAAGGGAGATCCTCGTCATTACGGCATTCCTGGGAAAATCCTGCTGAGCAGTCTTCCGATTTGCCTTTTTTTTTTTTTTTTTTGGTTTTTCGAGACAGGGTTTCTCTGTGGCTTTGGAGCCTGTCCTGGCACTAGCTCTGTAGACCAGGCTGGTCTCGAACTCACAGAGATCCACCTGCCTCTGCCTCCCGAGTGCTGGGATTAAAGGCGTGCGCCACCATCGCCCGGCTCGCCTATTTTTTTTTTTTTTAATGATAGGAAACAATCAAAAGACAGGTAACCCTGCAATGGGTCTTTGTGTTTTCTTAGTAATCACCTTATGAAGGTTGTGGGATCACTGACAAGTCTACACACTCTGTACATCACTTTCAGTCTCCCTAGGAAACAGGAGGGATATCTCTGGGTTCTGTCAGCTCCTGTAGCATCTTCTCACCCCGTGCTGTATAGAAGAAACAGACAGAGTTGGCTGCCCGCACCAGATGCCTAAAGGTCATGTGCAGAAAGAACTGTGTGCCTCTGGGTGCCGTGAAAGCCTGTGCTTCAGACATTCTAAAGTCAGGCTCCATGATGGAGCTTTCCTGGGCCTAAGCCCTGAACACTTTTCATGTCTCTCTGGTTTACGTGAGTCCTAGCGGAATCCCCCCTTACCTCTAAAGATCCGCCTCTGAGACCCCAAGAGCTGGCAGACTTCAGCAGAGGACCTGCAGGAGTTGACGTATTTCTGGATTCCATCAGCCAGGTCAAAGAGTGTCACGTTGGAGGCCAGGGCGAAGGTGGACTGCAGCGAGATCACCACTGTGCTGGGCTCTCTGTGGGCAAAGTCAAAGTTAACCGGCATATGGATCCCAGGCGTTTGCAAGTAAATGCTACTACCATTCTCCAGCGAAAGAACTGGAGAGCATGAAGGTCCAGCGACCTTGGGTTACCCAGTGGACTGGTCATAAGGCAGGGACTGACTTCATTTTGATCACCCATGTGGGAACAGCCCCCCAAATTCCACAGACCTCCATTCGCAAGCCTAAGAAATTCTGTTTCTTACCTAGACACACGGACTGTAGATCGGATATAACCAGGCAACGTCGAGAAACACAAGTTTAACTGAAACCAAGAACAAGGCTGTCAGACAAAATCCCTGAACCAAGAAGCAATTCCCAGTGCTCAGGATAAAATAAGCAGCTTCCAGCCATCAAGTTATCAGCAGGCAGCTTTACCCAGAGCAGGGCAACCTTGTGTTCCCCTCCCGAATGTCTTTCTGTTGCTCCCCCAGAACAAAGGGAGCAGCGCGAATAGTGGGGAACTCTCGGCAGGAAGTGATGCTCAGAGCAGCCCCCTCGGAAACAAAACATTTTCAAAGGAGAAGATCCCTCCTACGGTCCAGGGTTTGAAAAAACGCAGGCAACAAAACTGCACAGAACACAAGCTCACTGGAAAGGCTCAGCTCCTCTCGGCTCCCCAGGTCTGACGGGCCCTACAGGCTCCTCATAATCTACAATGAGCTGACCTAACTCAAAAGGTAGGTCTTCCTCAGAAAGACGCTCTGTGGGAAACCACATGACGTGGGTCAAGAGCTCTTTTGTTGAGAACAAATTAAGAGCGATGTGTTTGCCTTGTGCTGCAGAGAGAGCAGAAAGACTCTCAGCCACAGAAAGCAATGTGCCTGCCTTCTTACCAGCTCTCCACAGCCTAGCTGGGGGCTCCTTTTATGGAGCAGAGAGTCTCAATATCTCATTCTGGGCAGACCCACTGTTTCAGAGCCCCTGACTTGGGAAGATGGGGTCAAGTGTGGGATGTTATCAAATGGGTGGTAGATCTGTATGCCATCGCTTTATGTGCTAAGAGCAATGGTTTACTATTGCCCTTTTTATCCAGGTATGAGCAGAACGCCATCTTGGGAAAGCCTGTGCTAGTGGTGTCCCCGATGGCGTTTAATTCTTTATGTTAGTTGGGGTCAGGTACATCCTGGCTCAGTGTATCATTTTTTTAAATGATTTATTTATTTATTATGTATACAACATTTTGCCTCCATGTATGCCCGCACGCCAGAGGAGGGAGTCAGATCTCATTACAGATGGTTGTGAGCCACTAAGTGGTTGCTGGGAATTGAACTCAGGACCTCTGGAAGAGCAGCCAGTGCTCTTAACCTCTGAGCCATCTCTCCAGCCCCTGGCTCAGTGTATCATATGGTGATATCTGACCAAACAAACAAGAAGTATTTAGGCAATCTGCTTGCTACAGTGGAACATAAAGGACTGTACTTTTGCACAGGGCTCTCACCCCCTATACTATATGAGAAGTTAATGTCTACCTGCAGAATAGCCAGGCGGCAGCCACGAATCTACTTCTGACTAGGGAGGTCATGCCTCTGCCCTTGCGAGTGTCCTTATTGATAGTAACGATTTTATTAAGGTGGAAATGCTGGGCCATGCCAGAGGATTTGCCATAGTCCCTGTCACCAGCCCTGTGATCACACTCATCGTGTGGACAGCAGAGGGAACTCTGGTCATAGGGCATCAGCTCAGCCTCTAGAGTGCCTAGGGACTGAAGCCAGTCATATGGACGGTCAACCACTTCTATATGGCAAAGGCCAAATAAATGCTTCAGACACCAAGGCTCAGGCGAGCATTGCGGTTGGCAGTACGACATACAGTCCCACACTGTTGGCAAGAGGTACCATCAATGGCAATACCACCACAGCGGCAGAGCAGCTAGAAGCTCTGCATTTGGGACCCCCAGACTCTGCCCCATGCATATTGTCCCTAAGCTAATTTCAACTTAAAGCCTTTTAGTGTGATGAACCATCTATATGGAGATACTGGCCTCCAATAAGTTCTGTGGGTCCTCCCAGTAAATCCCTGAAATTTGGGGTGCTCCTAGAAACCTGCACACTTGCAGTTAGTTACACAGGTGACCTAGGGGACTGCTCTCAACTCTGCTTCCAATTAATGCTGACTCAGACAATGCCACCAACTTCCAGAGCCTCCAGGTCCTCCATCTGAAACATGTGTGGCTGACCCTCTTATAGGTCTGAGCACCTAGCATAGTCCCTGTCACAGATTAAATGCTCAGTAGACAGAGACATGGAATTAAGATACAAATAAAATCCACAGTCCTATAAGAACACCTAATTCCTGGCTAATACATAAACTCTAATTTAATGTAACAGCAGATCTAAATCTAATTTAATTTAATTTCATCTCTAATTTAGTATAATGGCAAATTTCAGTTCCCAAACACCAAATCTTTGACTTGGGCAGCAACTGAGAACAAAATATATTGCCCGAGTTTAGTTTGTATTTCTTTTTTTTCCATTTTTTTCTTTTCAGATATGAAAGCAAAGCAGCATCCAAGGTCCCTAGATAATTTATATTGTGAGCTCACAAGCCCGGGTAATTGAAATTAGTTTCAGGCCGCTGGCATCCCTCAAGGTGAAAGAGTGTCCTTTCTAAGCTCTGAAAACACAAGGAGAAAGTCATATCAGGTGTCAACAGCAGACGGGGCACAAGGGTTTCCTGGGTCTTTCCTCTTCGCCCCAATCCCGCACTGGGGCAGGGCAAACACTCTATCTGATGGGCATGTGTTTGCACAGGAAAAAGAAACAGCCTAGCAGACAAGACTGCCATGGAGATGGATCTGAAGCCGAACACTTCCTGGACCCCGCAGATCCCAACACCTTTCTTCTGTTTCCAAGACACTTTCTACTTCACTGTGAACTTTCCCTTCTAAGTACAAAAGCAAATCTGGGGGATAAGGGTGACCCTGAGTAGTGACCAACTCTGAATGAAATCTGGTCTAGGAACAAAGGCTGGGCACGAAGCATCCTTTTGGGGAAACTTACGGTTTGAGCGATCTTGTTTTCAACCTCGTGAGTGTCAGAATGGTTTTCCACAGTAGTATTGAGAAAAGTCTTCTTTAACTTAAACTCAGTCACGAAGGTTCTAACTGAAGAGGAAAATGTGGCCTGTTAAACCATACAACAGAGAGACCAATGCAAGGCTATGTATTCAGAAACCTCTGGGATGACCAGTTTTATTTCCCCAGAGGACAAGCTATAGGAGCCTTTTGAGGGTGAAGACCATGCCTTCCTCTTCTAGAAGGCAAGCAAGGGGTGACAACGGAACAGGGCAAACATTTGTAGTAGGTGCAGACTCCATGGTGCTAAAGATTGCACAGTCATCAACCACATCATGAAAACAACCCACATTAGAAACACCACTGCGTCCAGAATCGAGGGAAACAACCTCCTTTTTAAGGCCCATTTCACTCATAAAATGTAATTCTAGTTAACATCAATTTGGGCTGATTGGCCCTAAGGGGACTGGGACTCGAAAATGGGCAGACAACCAAAAATTAGTACAGCCTGTTTTTAGAACCGGCATGTATCTTTCATTATATTAAAATCATATCTTTCCCTCTGGAGGGGAGAAAAATAACCTGAACCACAGAGGTCTGGGAGTCCTTTCTAACAGGGCAAGCATGCCTGCTGAATTAAGAGGAAGGCCAGCAACCGAGCCAGGGAAAACATCTACCATTTTAGAGTTAACTGCCGAAAGCCCCTAATCCTTATTTAACATGCTTTTGCTTGTTCTACAGTTCAGTGAAGCCAGCTGCTTAGGACTCTTTCTGAACAGCAGGCAGCTCTTTGAAAACACTCTTGGCCAAGCAAAAGCATTTTGGAGGGCTCTAATTTGCATGTTCCTGTGATGTTTGCGAACAATGAAGCCAAATGACTTGAAAAGGGAAAGACGGGACCGCTAGCCAATTGAGCTGCGTTCCTCCCATCTGCGCTACCTGTGGGACACCCTGCACACAAGCTGACCCAGCCCTCTTCACTTCCCACACAGGTTCAGATCCAGACTCTCCATATAAAAATGTGCACAGGATGAGGGTTGGGCGCATGGAAGTTTTCTGAATGTGCCTTCTGTTTTCAGCATGAGAAACAGCGCCTGTCTTCACCCAAACCCTGGCCTCTTTCCTAGAAGGGATTTGCTGAAGGTGTTTATTTATGTAGGTTTTTTTTTTTTTTTTTTTTGAGACAGCGTTTCTCTGTGGAGGCCTGGTTGTTCTGGAACTCACTCTGTAGACGAGGTTGGCCTCAATCTCACAGAGATCCGCCTGCCTCTGCCTCCCAAGTGCTGGGATTAAAGGTATGCACCTCCACCACCTGGCTTCTGAAGGTATTGTACCTTTGTGGAGATGAGGCTGTGTTTGCCTTCAAGTTACTGCTTATTGTAAAACCAGTGGCTTTTAGTCAATGCTTTGCCTGGGTGACTCCATTTTATAAGCTGCATTTGACTCTGTTTCATGCTGTGGACAAAGACACTCCCTCTTGCCCAGAACCATCCATGGGGCACAGACTGATATCTTGCAAGAATATATCAAATTAGATTGGGTCTTTGTATGAGTATACAGCTTATTAAAACTTATCGGAAACCAAGGCCCTAAAGCTGACGAAACACACCAAGGAACAGCGCAACACCCTCTTCTGTATCCCCATAAACAGGAAGACACCTGCCATGCCTAGCAATGCCCCCAGCAACTATCTGACCACCCAACATGCACAAAGACTGTCCGACTGTCCATAGGGCCTTAGCCTGGCTAAGTCTCCACTGTTGACATGGTATTCCCTGTCCCTTTGCCCCTCTGGACCCTGTCCCGCATAGCACATCATGCCTATGGACTACATGGGCCTGCGCTTCACCTCCAGTCCTGTTCCTCTACAGCTCATCTCGCCTTATAGTCCCAGCTCAAGCCCGCAGCCCCACAGCAGCCCAGTGTGCGCCTCTGCAGTGCTACAGCTACAGCCCGGTTCCTGATGTAACAACTAAAGGGAGTCTCTTCTCATCTGTGTCAGCTCTCTGCCACCTTAACCCTTGTGTGGTCTGTAACCAACATACCCGTGCACACGCTTGTACACACACACACATGCATGCACACACACACATGCACACGCACCTACAACACACTGTGATGTATAAAGTGTGATCTCAGAGTTAATATTAGTAATTAAATTTGGAATAAAAGAACCTACGCTTGCCAATGGCCAGCTATCAAGGGAAATCAGAATAACTTGGCAAATTATAGCAAATGAAATTGAAGTAGCCTGTGAATTTATTGTTACTCAATAAATTCTGACATTGTGGAAAGACACAGATGTGTCCGTGTTTCTAATAGAGTTAGTGTACTCAAGACAGCTTACATCATCTGGACGGGTATTTTTTAAAAAATTATTACATTTATTTACTTTGTGTGTGCTTTGTGCATGCATGTGTGCATGTGCGTGTGTGTTCATGTGCCAAGGTACCCTTGCAAAAGCCAGAGAACAGCTTGCACGAACTGACTCTCTCTACCATGTGGGTTCCAGGAATCAAATTCAGGTAGTCAAACTTGACAGCCGGTGCCTTCACCTGTTGAACCCTCTCACTAGCCCAGGACGGATTTTCATCCCAGCTTAACTGCAGCCTTTACCAGGGACCTGTAACAACGGCTCTGCATTGACAGCAGGTGGCTTACACCGCATCCAGTCTGGAGAATGCTGCCTCCCATCTGGACAGCCCTTTCCCACACTCAGAGCGTGCTCCAGCAGATCACTTTATTCGCCATTCCCAAACCTTGAGTGAGAAGTGGAGCAGACTGCAATCTGATTTCACAGATGAGGAACTAGAGGCTTTGGCTCTGTGTTCGCAGGTGCTGGCTAAGGGCCTGAAGCCAGGCATTTGAAACCTGGCAAGTGTACTTTCCAGAGGGCTTCAAAACACAAACGAAAATGGAAATATTCCCATCTTCTTCATCCTTCAACTGCGCACTCTTATCTAGTTCCCGGTAGGATGTGGCGACATGAAACAGGTTACCCAAATGCACATCAACTATTACACCGAGAGGAATTCTTGATTTTTGACTCATGTCTACACCTGTAGATTTTTCTTTCTAAAACAATGCTCAGTTCTTGTATTTCAACCAACTTTGAAAATTCTTATTTTAGGGACGTGCCAGCCTTAAGAAGTCCCTTCTGCCTATGGGTAATAGGAATTCACGCAGACAGCACCTGCAGAAGACACAGACATTGGTTCTCTCAAAAACACTGGCTGTGTGGGCACTGTGTGTGTGATGTCAGCCTGGGCAACCGAAGCTGATCCCAAGGCAAATCATTTCCCCAGCCAGTTTCTTTCCACAGCGCTGAAACTGTATTTCTCATTCTAATTTCTCCAGTAAGCAAGGTATTAAATTCAGCAACCCAACAAGGGTCATGCCCTGTGTGCAAGGATGCTCTTCAAATGAACACACGCTTGTAGAATAGAAAGAACTGCAGGCTGGGAACCAGGACTCAGCAGCGGTGACCCAAATTTGGCTGCTGAGCATCTCTTCAGAGCCTTACTTAGTTCTCACTGGGTTTGTTGATTTGTGTTTTAACCCGAAGGATGAGAAGTGAATTTGGAACTAACAAGCTTCATGGAACTGCCAAATGAGGAACAAAATATGGCCAATAAGGTGGCCAGCAGCTGTGTCAAAATGTATCTGTCTGTGGCTAGCAACGTGAAGATCGCGTTTGAAAACATGAAGAATGTGTGCACACAGAGGGCAATCAGAATCTTACTCTTTTCTCGCTCTAAAATCACAAAACAACTATGCAGTGGGAATATTCTTTTGACTTTTTATTCTTAACAACAGGGCAGAGTGGCTGAGCAAGCAATGTTATGCATAAATAAGAATATTATGTAGGCATTAAGATATCTGTACTTTTTAGTAACAGGAAGATACTTTATGGCTAGGTCTTGAATTTAAATAGATGTACATCAACAAATTGTGAGGAAGAGCACTGCAGCTCCAAGTGTTAGAATAATAGGCCCCATGCTTCCCTTCCTTCTATATTCCTGAATTTTCTATCTTGGGGGGAAAGACTGGCTTTGATTTGGAAGAAAACCGGTCAATACGTTCTAAGACAGACGTAACTCTCTTACCCAGATTGCAGATTCCTTTCTCCAGCTGATAGCCAACCGGGCACCTGCAGGTGAAGGACCCCTGAGTGTTGTTGCACACGGCTAGGGGCGGACAGGGGCTCGAGAGGCATTCGTTCACATCTGCAGAGGAGGACGAGCAAGAGCATGTTGAGGGGGTGGCAGCCAAAGAATTATAAGCCCGTGTGTACTGAGAGCCAAATGGCGCTGTGTGGAGCGTGCTACAAAAGAAGAGCAGGAAACCACCCTTGTCCTCAGGGAACGACTACCTGTCTGGGCAGAGGCAGCCATTTGAAGAATTAACTAGAATACAAGGCAGGATTTGGATGTGCAGAGATGTACGTAGATCTAGTTGTTTATTATTATTATTTTTTGTTGTTGTTGTTTTGATACAGTGCCTCATCCTTTCATCCCTGACTGGCCTGGAACTCACCATATAGACCAGGGTAGCCTTGAACTCACAGAGAGCCCACTATCTCTGGCTCCTGGGTACTGGGATCAAAGACATGCCCAGCAGAAATAGTAGACTTTGATGCAGGGAAGAATTAAAGAATGTTTTAAATACTATTTAAATATAAATAAGGCTAAAGGGATGTCAACAAGCAGATCGTTGTGGGGAGGCTAAGATTCCAAACTGAGGAATCAGCAGAGTAAATGCCCAGGGCAAGAGAGTGTAGGTATCTTTAGGGAGCTGGAGATAGTTCAGTGTTGCAGGGGTGTAGGGTAGGTACGGAATAGAACCAGGTCAAAAGTTTGTCTTGTCTGTATCATGCTGTGATCCCTCATACCATATACAACACACCAGCATGCTAACACTCAAGTGAGAAGACTATTCAACTAAAATTCTTACCCTTGTACACTCTAGAAGAAAAAGACTCTTTTAAAAAGAATTGTTTGTAATTATGTATATGTATGTGAACACATGAGTGCGGGTGCCTGCAGAGGCCCGAGGTGTCCAATTCTTTTGGAGCTAAAATTCCAGGCAGTTCTGAACTGCTGGGTATGGGTGCCTGGCCCTCTGCAAGCACAGTACGTGCTGTCAATGCTGGGGAAAGGACCTTATTGGATAGCCCGACCACCCAAGGTAGCATCATAGAAAAGGATCTTATTGGATAGCCCGACCACCCAAGGTAGCATCATAGAAAAGGTCCCAGCCTCTCTTACCCACACTGCAGTTGTCGCCTTGCCAGGCAGGTGGGCACACACATCGATACCCACGACTCACGGTGAGGTCCACGATGCACTCGCCATCATGAAGACAAGGGTTCACGGTGCAGCTGTTGACTGAGCAAACAGAGGCGGGAATAACACAGGCAATGTCAGACAGCCCTGGCAAACATCTTATTCTCTCGGCTAAGGTTTGGTTCTCGCCTGTGTTTGCTTGTCCTGAAAAATCGCACCACTAAAACAGCACAGGGTCCCAAAAGGAGCAAAGACAGAGGTGCTGAAACTGGGCACTGGTACTAGTTTGCCTTCATAGTAAAGTGCTGGGTACTTAGATCTCGAATGCAAGCGTGCATATTAAATGCTTCTTGCAGGCCTCTCTGTGCAGGACTGATGGTTATATGGCTGCTGTGGCACTTAGAAAATTCTACTAGGCTAGTGAATGCCAACTTAAAACACATTTCAAGGTGGAGAGAATCCCTGGCAATGTATCCTGACTGCTCCAAGATTCACTCTGTGTGTTCGCAAGTGCACACATATGCATGGCTTACTTTTTCTCTTGGATTTTGTCAAAACTACAGAAACCTTTATCTGAAAATCTTGAAACACATATACTTGAAGTTGCTATGCTTTTTGATGTTTTGTTTTATTTTGAGATGGTCTCATGTAACCTGGGCTGGTCTCAAATTAATTATATAGCTCAGACTGGCCTTGATCCCCACCCCCCATCCACTTAATTCTACCTCCCAGGTGCTGGGATTACACATTCACCACCAATGTTCAGCTTCCGAATGTCTCGAAATTTAACCTGGCTTCCACAGATGGTACGCCATTGAGAAAATTATCAGTTAAGCATCGCAATGCCCTCTCTTTTTTTCTTCTTCACATTTATTTATTTGTTTGTTATGTGGATAGTATTCTGTCTGCATGAACACCTGCAAGCCAGAAGAGGGCGCCAGATCTCATTATGGATGGTTATGAGCCACCATGTGGCTGCTGGGAATTGAACACAGACCCTCTGGAAGAGCAGCCAGTGCTCTTGACCTCTGAGCCATCCCTCCAGCCTCTTTTCTTTGCTTTTTTAAGGCATGGTCTCATGTAGTTCAATGCTGGTCTCAAACTCCTAGGTGGCCTGGGATGACAGGGAACTTCAGAGTCTCCTGTCTCTGCCTCCCAGCTGCCAGGATTTCAGGCATCTCATGCTCAGCTCTTTCTCTCCATACCTGGAGCCATGAGGGGCTTTCTGGGTAGACTCTAAAGTCGCCTTGGCATCTTACTCCTTATCCCTGCCCCAGGATGCCCACACTGTTTGGCTCTATAATTAGAGCGTCCATGCTTCGGTTGTGAAATGCTGTTTCACTGGGGGTTTGAGACGCTCTTAGGAAAGCCTGAAGCCTACAAAACATGGTCATCATTTGCAGGGAGGAAATCACTGGGGAACAAGGGAAAGAAGACAGATGCTGGGGCCTTTAGAAGAGTAACCTGAAATAGATGGGCCACTCTAGACACGGCAGGCTTACCCTTCATGGCTACTGCTGAAATTTATTATTCTGAGATTATGTGTGTGTGGAGGGAGACGGGATGAGCACAGGGGTGCACTGCTTATGGAAGCCAGGAGAAGGCGTTGCATCCTCCTAGGACTGAAATTACAAGTGGCTGTGAGGTGCTCCATGTGGGTCCTGGGAACCAAACTGAGGGTCACTACTAGAGCACTGTGCCCTCTAAACAGATGCTGAGTGGTCTGTCCAGCCCCACACTTTAATGTTACCTAGCATCACCTATACAAGCAGAACACCTATGTAATTAAACATGATGCCCATTTTATATAAGTCTATAGTTTCCTGTGTAGACGCTGCAAACCCTTATCCATAGGAAATGTAGCAGCTAACCCTTGCTTTAAGGGAGTCTGGTGACTGGTATTGACTGTACTGCTCAGTAGAAATGTAGATGCTTTTTTTCTGTAGAAGCAACCATCTTTTACTTCTTAGACATAGATTGCTGAGAAGTGAGCACTGTAGACTAGCGGGGGGGGGGGGATGGCTTCTGACCCTGAGCCCCCAGGTTCATCTTCACTGACTCATTGCTACTGTGCCACTAACAGAGCTCTCTGCTGTAGCCATCAAAGGGTATCCCCTTCTTTCCCTCTTACTCGAGATGGCGTCTGTCTTGCCATCCTCAACAGCAGTTCTCCCTTCCTGAGTCTGGATCAACCACAAGGGCATTGTGAGCACCACATCCTGCTATCCCTGCTTCTGCCGTTCTTTGCCCTGGGTTGGCCTTCTTTTCCTTACACTGGTACCTGCAGCACGGCTGGACAGATAACCTTATGTACAAGGAAAGAAACGCGAGTCAAGAGGCCACTGGGAAGAGGTTTGCTGAACATCCTTTTGTTTAGAAGTCCTCTGGTTACCAACCAGAGTATCGGGGAGACAAAGAACTCTGGGTCTCCCTGGATGGAAAGCAGCCTTTGACCCTGAAAGACCCTGAGCTGACTGACTTGGAAGCTCTCAGTTCTCTCTAGAGAGCAGACATTCAACCCACCCCTACCTCTACCAGACCACCTAAAGCTCTTCTCTTTGGTGCCGCTGGAGAACTTGCTGGAAACTGTGCATCCACCAGGCAAGCGCTCTACCCCCATCCTGCATCCTAGCCCCGTTAATGTTGCTTTTTCAGTTTCTCCACTGTCCAAACCCACATCTAGGCCTGCTCTGCCCTCAGATGAGTTAAAGACATGCTTGAAAAGCTTGGACAGTAAGAGGGTATGGAGGCTACAGTTATATCCTCTATGCATGCCACACAGGGCCAAAGGGTGTTCTCTCCTTTCTTCAGACAGAGTCATGTAAATTGGGGGAGCTCTTAGAAGAACATTAGGGCCACGCTGCCCATACTGCATGCTTTGTATTTCAATGGGAGGCATTCTGGGTCATCAAAGAGACGTTGTACTAGCCATGTTGACACACCCACACAGGCCCCAAGGCCTTTGCAGCTTCAGTGTCAGGCAGGACCTAGCAGTCAATGTGTGTGTTTGTAAGAAGAAGCATTTACCTGGGGCTGGAGGTGGCTGCGCTGTTGGTGACTCTGGGGTGCTCTGAGCAGCGGCGGTGGTATATTTGGACGTCAACATTTCAGCCTTAGAAACACTTGTAGTTTGAGGGGAAGATGGTCTGAGAGAAGGTGAAACCGGGCTGGCCTCTTCCGCCTGGTCAAGCTTTGTGGTAGCATCTGCTGATGTGGGTGTAGTGGTTGGAGGGACAGCAGAGGTGGTAGGACCCATTTGCCCCCGGTTCCCTTCTGTGGTGAGGTCCCCTTCTGTGGAGGTCTGTGACACTGGAATTTCAGGACTGGTCGGCAGGTGCTGTTTCTCAGGGGTAATGTGCACAACCATGACTCCCGGAGTCAAAGCTTCTGTGTTCGACAGGGTGCTGGGGCTGGTGGCAGGAGAGTGGGTAGTCTGGGAAGTGGAAGACATCAAAGTTGGAGACATCTGGGCTAAGCTGGTGCTGGTGGCTGGGAGGGCTGGCTCTGTGGAGAACCCCATTAAGGCTGGGGACCAAGGGGTCCCTGAAGGAAGGCTCATCGTTACTGCTTGGGTAGGATCTGTGGGCAGAGACACCAGGCGTGGTGAGTGTGCTTCTGTGATGGCTTTCTCTGGCTGCGGGGCGCTCTGGTTCTTGGGGTCTGCTGTCTGGTTACCAGGGAACATGGCTATGGCTGATTCCACTGTGGACATTTGGACCGACGTTACGCGTGGCTCCTTCGCCCTGTGGGGGACTAGGGTAGAAGATGAGCGTGGGAAGGTTGCTTGTGAGACGGAGTGTGGGGTGAGGGTTGACACCATGAAGGAGACAGGCAAAGGTGACGGTGAGGATGACGAGGGCGTGGCTGTGTCGGAGGTAGACTTTAGCTGCTGTGTGGGAGACCCCTTTGATGGCACAGTGGCTGAAAACCAGCGGGGCGGTGACTCTGAGGGAAGGAGCCAAGGGGCCTCTGACTCGGATTGGTCCTCAACAGGTTTAGTGCGGGCATCAAGAACCAGGGTGTTTGGCATATTCACGGTGGATGCGGAGGACGGAAGGTTGGATGGATGCAAAACCAGCGACTCTGTGGAAGACTGTGCAGGTTCGCCATTGTAGGAGGACGCGTTATTTTCTTTAGTCTGCCCCTGAGAAGAAGAAGAAAAGTCTACGCGTGGAGAGTCTGAGGTTGCAAAAGAGGTTGCACTCTCGCTGGTTTCTGAGGAGGAAGAGTTCTCTGTAATGGACAGTAATGACCGCTCTCCTTTGGTGAAAGCAGACGAGGCATAGGCGTGGTCTGTGTGGTCACTGGAAGGCCCTTGTTCAGCATCTGTGCCATGCTCTGGCCCGTGGTTCAGCTCAGTGACTACAAAGAGAAAAGAGAAAGTTGGTACAAGCAAGCAAGGAATGTTTGAGATAGGCACTGGAAAATAGTCTTCGTGACTTATCCATGAACTTAAGGAAGAGGGATACTGTCTCTGAGGTGACTTCTCGTGGGAAGCACTCTCGGTCATGACGGTACTGGAAGGCTAACAGGGTCGGTCCAGAGGAGATCCCACCCGTGAGGTCCAGCCGCAGTGACTACGTGGGAATAATGGAGAAGTGGGGAGCCTAAAAACAGGGAGTGTTTCCAAAGCTCTTTTTTAATAAAAGCAAATTGCGTGGAAAACCTCCCAAGATCCCAAGCAGTAATTACCATTATCAAATGGAAAAAGGAAACCGCTCCCAACTTTCCACTCTGTGTAATGAGGTATTTCTTCCTGGGAGAAGGCCTTCGCCACAGTTAACCTCTCAGGCGGATGTCATCCCAAATACCTCAAGCAAGACCGAGGCAATAGGGGTGGGAGCGCTTCCTGCGGTGGGGAGGGGGGACCCAGAAGGTTCTTTTCCTAATGAGCTGTAAGCTACTTTTTGGGTTGCCAGCCAACGTAACCATCCCAGGCCTGTGAGTCAATCTACAGCCAAGGAATGCGGCTGTGGGAAAACACACCTCCAAGGGTAGGTGCCCGGGACAGCAGGCCCGCGTGCTCCGTCACGTTCCCACGCAGAGTGGGGTGCACGGGGTGCGTAGCGGCGTGTGAGAGTCCGAGGGACCGCAGCGTGCGCTCCCCGCTCCGGGTGAGCATCGTAGACGTGTGCATGTGTGGGGACCGCACCCCTGAAGCGCTCCCTGCCCGGTCCGGGCTGTCGCTCAGCAGCAAACTGTCTTCTGGAACTGCAGGAAAAAGAGGACAGGTAAGTGCAGGACAGGTAAGTAAGAGGACTTTTAGCCTCACATTCTGGGTCCCTGGAACCCAGAGGCTTCCATGAGACTCTTTACCTGCGACCAGAGAGAGCCCTGATATCTCTCTTACTGAATTCACCGTAAGGACTGTTCCTTCAGCCAAAGATTTCTGCTTGGCAACACATGATAACAATCATAGCGTTCTACCAGTGACGTTGGTGGCAACTTCAGTGCCCCACCTGTGGTATGTCAGTCACCATGGGTCAAAAATTAATATGGATGCTGAGCAGTGGTGGCACATGTCTTTAATCCTGGCACTCAGGATGCAGAGGTGGGCAGATCTCTGAGTTTGAGGCTAGCTTGGTCTACAGAACGAGTCCTAGAACAGCCAAAGCTACACAGAGAAATCCTGACTTGAAAAAATCAACAAATAACCCCTTGTCAAAGCATGGAGGTTAAGGGTGGACTTAGCTGGTGCTCTTTGCTTTATATTATTATATTTATATATTTCTGTGGGAGTGCACATGCCACAGCAGAACTAGTTTATATGATTAGATTACCAAGTAAATCCTTTTCAGAAATGATGAACATAAAGTCCAAACTCACATACCTATGCACACATACACATAAATAAAACAAATCTTTAAAAAACAGTATTTATTTACATTTTAATTTTAATAGTTAATTTTTTGGTGTGTATAAGTGTTTTGCCTACATGTATAAATGTGTTTCTGATGACTGCAGAAGCTAGCAGAGGCCACTGGACTCCCTGGAGCTGGAGTTACAGACGGTTGTGAACCACTGCATGGGGTCTGGAAAGGAACCCAGACCCTCTGGAAGTCTAGCAAGTACCCGTAGCCACTGAGCCATCTCTCCAGACCCTTTATTTTTATTTTTAAATTATGTGTACCTGAGTGTGGGTTTGTAAACATGAGTGCAGTATCCAAGGGGGTCAGAAGAGGGCGGCAGATCCCCTGGAACCAGACTTACAGGTGGTTGTGAGCCATTTGGCTGGGGTGATGGTAGTGGAACTCAGGTCCTCTGCAAGAGAGGGTCTGCACTCAACGGCAGAGTGCCATCTCTGCAACTCCATTAACAATTCTTAAAACCACCGTAAGGGTTAAATATAAGTTTGGGTTATATTGTAAGTACTCCTTTGTTTTTCTGTAAATCAGCAAAAACTCTGGGGATGAGGGAAGCTGACACATTGGAGTCAATTCCTGAACTCTTGATGCCCAAGAACTCTCTGCCCCAAGCTCTCTTTTGCCTTGAGCAAAAGGACTATAAGTCTAGCAGCCAGACAAACTACCCTGTGACAGCACCAGTCACAGGACGACTATACAAAGATCACAGCTGACTGCACTGGCTCCTGAGGCCATGGTCCCAGGCAGGGCTGTTTGAGACAGTCTGAGTCTGACTTTCTGTTAATCCCAAACCTGTACAGACTGTTTCTATCTCGGCAAAAGGGGAGTACTTCCTAGAGGGAGTTCCCGGACTGGCGCTGAGGGGAAAGGCTGTGATTGTTCCAGAACACCAGTCTGTGATTGGTGTCAAGGGCGAGGCTGTGTGTGACCCACATGTCTCTTCTGGGGCCTCATAAGCAGGTTGCTTAGACTTTCTCAGTTACCTGTACAAGGCTTCTCTGGAGTGGTCTTTTCTCTCTACTTTCAGAAGTAAGAAAGAAATAGCAAAGGCCACAGAGAATTGAGTGTAGCCGGGGTGAAGACTTCGCCAGTGGTCAGGCTGTGTCTGAACAGTTGAAGACCTCAGAGAGGCATCATGTGTTGGCCACACAGCACCCGGCATTGACAGCGGCCGCTTCTGTGCATACACTCACTACTGCTGGACAACACTGCAGAGGCCCCATTGGCCCTGAAAAGGATTCGTACAGCGTGTGGCTCCATTCAGGTTCTCAAGACCCAGACCTGGCTTCCTGGTGTGCAAACTCAGTGTCCCTCTGCAGCTTTGTCGTAGTTTGGAAAAGTGGGAAGCTTTGGGATGCCTGGCAGGGCACACGGTGAGAGCCGTGCATAGCAACAGACATCCTGCTGATCCCACCTGTCTGCCGGGATCCTCTGCCCGAGTAATGCTGGCAGCACCTGGCATCCTGTTCCTACGAGGTGCCCCTGATTACACCCAGGCTCTCCAGATATGATCCCCCCTCCCTCTGCAGCCAGCCCCACCTAGATTTTTATCACCCAAAAGTCTGACTGTATTTTCCATATGAACCAATGCAGCATCACCCACAGAGGGAAGTGTCTTGAGAGATGTAAAACAGAAAAGCTCTGGAAGGAACCAAAGACCGTGCTAGGGTACAGCACAGGGTCAGCATGAGTGTTGCCTACTGCGCACAAGACCCTGAATTCAAGTCTCACAACTCAGGGTTCCACGGTCTTGCTTTGAGAAGGTAAAAATACTGGGCCCTGTAGTGGTGAGAGTGGAAAATGATATTTCCCAGGCAAGAGATAAAAGAGCATAAACATCTTCTCCCCATGTTTGTTCGTCCATACATCCATCCTTCCTTCTGTCCTTCCTTCTTCCCTCCTTCCCTCCCTTCCTTGCTTGCTTCCTTCCTTCCTTTTTTCTTTTCTTTTTGAAGACAGGGTCTCACCATGTAGTCCTGGCTGTCCAACGGCTATGTAGACCTGGCTGACCTTGAACTCTGAGATTCACTACAAAGTCCTGCCTCTGCCTCCTGGGTGCAGGATTTAAAAGGTGTGCACTACCACACCAGGCTCATACATGTGTTTGATTCTTTCATGATCAGACGCTTTTGCATGTTACAGGCGTAGCAATAAGCTGTGACCTCCTTCGTCAGTGAGGATTCTCATCTGGAGGAAATGGGGAGTTATTAGCAGTGTTGGGAGGAAAGAGTTTAAATCTGTGAGAATGTGATGATAACCCTGTTTGCTTTCATAAGCACCTACTTTATGACAAAACCACTGGGGAATCATCTTCAAAAATTACTCAAAAACATTATTTAAAAGGAATAAAACAACAAAAATAAATAAATAAAATAGAAAACCAAATGTTCTAAAATGTTCATATTAGACTTCACCAAAATTAAAAACTTTCATGCTCCAATTATATCATCAAAAAAGTAAAAATGATGGGCTGGAGAGATAGTTCAGTGGTTAAGAACACTGGCTGTTCTTCTAGAGGACCTGGGTTCGATTCCAAGCCCCTACATGGCAGTTCACAACTGTCTAGGTTCAGAGAATATGATACCTTCACATAGACATATATTCAGGTGATACATTTATGCACATAAAATAAAAGCAAATAATTTTTTTTTAAAAAGTAAAAATGGCCAGGCAGTGATGGTGCACGCCTCTAATCCCAGCCCTTGGGAGGCAGAGGCTGGTGGATCTCTGTGAGTTCAAGGCCAGCCTGGCTGGCCTATAGAGCTAGTTCCAAGACAGACTCCAAAGCTACAGAGAAACCTTGTCTCAAAAAACAAAAACAACAAAACAAAACAAAACAACAACAAAAAGTAAAAATAACAATCACAGAATGGGAGAAAGTGCCCATGAATTATACAAATCAAAGGGACTAGAGTCCAGAAGATGCAAAATGCCTTTATATTCAATGAGAAAAATGATAGCTTAATTTAAAAATAGTCAAAACATTCAAATAGACATCAAAGAAGATACACGCGGGCAATGACTATATGAACACATGTTCATGATCATTAGGATAGTGAACTGGGAAATGTAAATCTATACCACTCTCTCCATATGTGTATACACAGACACTCACACATTTACTTTGGAAAATCATTTGGCAGTGTCTCAAAGGCTTAAAAAGGATACTCCTAGGAGGCAGTGATAGTGGCACACGCCTTTCATCCCAGCACTCGGGAAGCAGAGACAGGTGGATCTCTGTGAGTTCGAGGCCAGCCTGCTCTACAGAATGAGTTCCAGGACAGCCAGAGCTGCTATACAGAGAAACACTCTCAAAAAGTAACAAATCTATAGCTTGGCAATTCTAAGACAGCATGCCTCTGCATAAAATGTGTCTCTGAACAATCATAGGGACACTATTAATAACAGTGCATCCCTGATGGAATATTAGTCGGAAGGACAGATACATACCTGATGAACCTTGAGGCCATGTAAAATTAAAAACACAAAAGGCCATATATGATATGATGGCTTTCACAGGAAGTGTTCATAAGTTCTGTGATTAGGAGGTACTGGGGTTTGGGGCAGGCTATATACCATGGGAGGGCTTGGACACAGAAGCCCCAAATTCTGTATGAGAAGAAGAGGCATCAAAGGCTCCTTAGATGTGGGACTGGGGAGACAGCGCAGTCTGGAAAGCATTTGCTGTGTAAACATGAGGACCTGAGCTCAAATCCTTAGCACCTTCAAAAGCTGAGCATGGCAGCCTTATTTAATCAGTGAGCCTCTAGCCCAAGTGAGAGACTAGCTTTTTAGGTACACACCGGAGGTTGACTGCTGGCCTCCATTTGCACGTGTGTACCTGAACACGTATATATGCACATATATACACTCTAGAAAAAGGGTTGAGATGTATAAAAAGGATGTGACATGAATATTTGTATTAACCAGCTAAGAGAATGGCCTGGGATCAGTAAAATTACTTTCCTAGCACAGGCTTTAGAAGATTAAAGGACCAGACGTATCCTAAGTGCCCGTGGCATACTTCCACGCAGTAAGAACTCACTTGAATGTTCTCCACGTGTGGCTGAGGAATCCAGACTTTCCGAGGAAGCTGAAGATGAAGACTCTGAGAAATTCTTCCTACCCAGCCGTGAGCCACCACCTCGGGGCTGCTGTGCAGTGTGTGAGAACGGAGTCCGAACCCAAGGGCTCCTTGTGTCTGGATGTGAAGCAGATCTCTCTGCGGTATCTGTAGACGTTTTGCTCTTGGCGAGGAACCACTGTCCTGTGCTCGCTCCATCAGCAATGGAGGGGACTGGCCTAAAAGCTACCTCAGTCAGAGGCTTGGCACTGCCTTTTCCTGCTTCGGGGCTGCCGGCGAGCTGATGTCCTCCAGAGGCTGTAGGATATTGGGGTAGAGGGAGGCCGTTAGTGGACCTGCAAAAGATGCTTAACAGCTAAGATGGCATCCCTGCTAGGCAAGCTTCTCTCTGCCCGAGAATCTTGGATGGTGTTTATATGGCTCACCCTACAAGCATCACCATGTTCTAAATTTTCCTAAAATCATCGGATGGCAGCAATGTAGTAATATTAAAAATAAAAGTTCTGGACATGAGACTTGAGAGCAGCAAACTAATCTATAGGCTTAAATGTTTAACTCTGTCCCTTGAAAAGTAGCTCAATGAAGGAGTCATTACCGCCAACAAGTTCAGTGTGCACACATATTATACAGAGTGGTTTTTCTAAAAAAAAAAAAAAAACAGCTGGAATACTGACAAACATTCTTCTACTTCTGATGTACAGTAAAATAAACTATAAGGAGTAAGCAAAACTATGAATTTGGGAAATATATTTGCCTGACAACTTATTTATAGAGATGAACTACACACAAAAATCGCTGAAGCCAGCTGCAAAGGGCAGGCCAGGGTTTGAAGATGACATTACGGTATGAAGAGGGACCAAACTATGACAGCCCCAAGGCTGAGGTCTCCACTCTGCTGAGTAAGCTGTGCTTGCTTTATTTAAGCCTTCCGGGTCTTAATGGTCTCATCTTAGGGATGGCATTGTCCACACCCAAAGATAAAAATGCAATCATGTGATCTAGCAGGAAAGGATCTGACGTCATCAAGGACACACTTTTTGTTCAGAGACTGCACAATGGTCTAGAAGAGACCCCCTAGGAGCACCCAACTATAGAAAATGTCCACAAGCCAAATAAAGGTGAGTTACTTACTGGGGGAATCACTTTGCCAGTGTATGGATGGAATTCCAACTCCATTTTCTATAGATGGCTCAATGCCTTCTCCGTCTCCAGGCCTCTCAGTGAGTCTGCTGTCTGTCCTGGATTCACCCACAGAGGGTGGAGAAGGGACTGAGGCTGACGTTACGGCAATTCTGGAATGCACAGGCAAGCTCTCTGTCTCATTTATGGGTTCCACGCTGACAGTCAAAGACCGGAGCATTCTGGTGACACCATCAGTGAATGTGTTGGTGACATGTGTACTCTTTGTCTGAGTGACTGACAGGCTTTGGAGATTAGCGGAGTCGGTAAAATTCTTTATACTTCCAGAAGCTAAAACAGAAGAAGACATGCTTCAAAACTACTTGAAAGGCTAAGGAAATCGGGATTCTGTCTAAGTACAAATAATGCTCATTGTATTTGATGCATGAATCTGTACACCGTGGATGTGACAGAGAACATACGCTTGCATCATGTTGATGCACACAAGCGCAAGTAGAGACCCTCCTTCTTTTTCACCTCACCAGTTCTACGTCCCACTGAGCTGGCTAGAGATGGAGTCAGAGCACTCACATGCAGAAATTAAGCTTTCTAGGCAAGCGAAAAGGAAGACAGGAGAAACCCAGACGAAGCAATAATTTGTTTTATTTTTCTATAGAGGGGCTGCATTCCACAGCGTAAGAATTCCACACCATGGACCACTGTGATAAAGTTGTTGCTGCCGGTTTGTCTTTTCGGCACTGTAACCCTTTTGTTCAAATGCTACCATAGGTTAAAAATCCCATCCATACCATGAACCAAGTTTGAGCCGGTACAGGGTGTGCAGCTGCTCGGTCAGCACCGGGGCTCTGGAGAACACAGTCAAGACATTGCTGGCCTGCGACAGTAGTTACCAACATGGTCACCACCAAAGGCTCTTTATTATTCCCGAAATAGTGGTCACCATAAAGCTTTGGCTTTGAAACACCATTCAAACTACATTCATTAACAGAACTACTAACAGGAGAGTGTGTTATTTCCCCAGGCATTTGATGTAATTTCACCTAGAAGCAGACTTCATTATTGTAGTTAGTTCCTCTCACTAAGCTTTAGAGATGTTGTCTCCAAACCATAGGGAACTTTAGGAGACCAAAGACGCTAGGCTGGGAACAGCTTTTTCTGATCAGTGAAACAGATGGTTGTCCTCAGACAGCTGTCAAGAGCCTCAAGAATTCAGTTCTATACCATTGGTCAGAATGCATGGTCTGCTCCTCATAGATGTCTGGCTGAGAGCTTCCTGCCACTGGGAAACTTGCCAGAGGTACTAAAGAACTCACTCTGAAGAGGTACCTTAAAGCCCCAACACCAAGGGGCTGAGCATGCGACTCAGTGGCCGAGAGCTCACTTAGCACGTGTGAGGCCCCGAGTTCAAACCCCGGCACCACAGCTATCCTTAGTAAATAGGGCAAGAATAAGGAGCAGGAAAGCTTGGGGAGCAAAGCAGTGGAGGCAAGGGAAGCAGGCTCTCTGCTCTCTTCTCCTCCTGAAGTCAGCAGCAACAGAGCGCTCTCTAGACCTATACCATGAAAGGCTTCCAGCTGTCAGTCACAGCTCCGAAAAGGGAAAAAGGGAAGCTGCCATTATAAATCATCCTTTGAAGACCATTCTTATGTGCAGTTGTGACCAAAAGCCCAAACAGATTTTAGACATAGAGAGAAAGTATAGGAAAGAAAGCGTTCCTTTCATTTTCGTGCAAAACCATAGACTCCCCTGACACGGGGAGTACAGCCTGCTGCTCTGCTTACTGGATGTCCATGAAAATAGATGCGGGTGCAGGCCCCACAGAGACAAGGGACTAGAAAGATGTGCGTGCAAAGGCAGCCAGCCAGGCTGGGACACAAACAAAAGCCACCTTTATATAAGAAAGGAGTGATATGGATAAGGATATGTCCCATAAACGGTCTCCAAATTGCTTTCAAAGCATTTTTATTTCTAATCAACTAGATCATATCATTTGTTCCCTATTCCCATCAAAACACCATGGTGGGGTAGAGACGACTTGGCATAAGAGTGTGTACTGTTCCTTCAGAGGACCTGAGTTAGGTTTGCAGCCCTCACACTGGGTGGCTCACACTGCCTATGACTCTAACACCAGAGGGTCCGACGCCCTCTTCTGGCCTCTAAGGGCACCTTCACTCACAAGCATCCATACACCTCCACACGTGCAATTACAAATAAAACCTTAACCCCCCCCCCCCCCCCCCCCCCCCCCCCCCCCCCCCCCCCCTTGTGATGGCTACACTGGATTCAGTCTGAAAAGCCCAGGCCTGCCCGTTTTGGTAGTCTGAACAAATAAACAGCCACAGAAATATGATCACAATCGCTGAGTCACTAAGGAAAACAGCTCCATGTCCCACGACCCCGCAGGGCTCCCATCTCAGCACTGTGACGAGCTTCTGTGGTTGCACATGACAGCACCTGCTGTGTTCTTGGGAGGCCGAGGCAAACAGACCATGAGCTGGACGCCTGTGTGGTCCACAGAGCAAGTTCTAGGCCCATCTCAAATACAGAGCGAGATCCAGTCTCAAAACTCAACCCAGTGGTGGCTGGGGAGATGGCTCAGTGGTTGAGAGCACTGTCTGCTCTTCCAGGGGACCAGGGTTCAATTCCCAGTATCCACATGGCAGCTCACATCTGTCTGTAACTCTACTTCCAGGGCTCTGACACCCTCCCATAGACATGCAGGCAAAACCACCAATGAACATTAAAACATAAATAAGTAATTAAAAAAAAAAAACAACTAAACCAAGCAAGGCGCTACCATGAAGTGAGCAATTGCATCCTCAGGCATGGCGCTAAGATATGCGCATCTCACTTAGTCCTCACGGTACAGCTGTGTAAAGACTCCTGCAAAGCAGCGCATGGAATGAAAATGGGAGCGGCTTATACGCATTGCTCATGCTCCTGCGTAGACACCTGCTCCAGAAGCTACAAGGAAATGCATTACGTTTCTTATCAGCAAGCTGGCATGAGTGGTCACTCTCGGGTGGCCACCCTGAAGCAGCCATTCAGAAAGAGAAAACCTGAGTTTGAACCAGGAAAGGCAAAAGGAGAAAAGGAAGAGGGGCAGGAAAAGCCAGCTGGTGAGATGGCTCAGCAAGGCCATAGAACCTTGGACACACACACAGGGATGTCCTATGTGACGGAGAGAGAAGAACTGACTCCTCCAGGTGGTCCTCTGGCCCCAGCACTCCCCTGCACAGTAAACAAACAAATAAACAAATCTCATAAAAATTTTAAATTAAAATGTAAAAGCTGGAATACCACCCACTGGGACAAGGCCTGAACTAAGTTCTTAGTTTTGTAACCGTGGAGAGAATGCCTGTTCACCTGGTGTGGACGTGTCCCTCTCCACTCACGGGACAAAACCCCAGAGCCTCTGGCATCCATCACATTGCTCAACCTTGACTGCTGTCCAGAACTTCCCACAAGTGCAGCTGAGGCAGGTGATGGTAGAACCAGACAGACTGAATCCCAGATCTTTCAAGGTCTTAATGTTCTCTCCCTTCACAAAGTGAAACCACCACAAAGCAATTTACCTGGACCACATCAGCTCGGCTGCCCACAGGAAAGACTTCCGTGAGTCAAGCCCCATTATTACACCCCAGCTCTTACTGAGTCTCTACAAAATGTCACCTTCAAAGAGCATTAGCATGGTTCTCACAAGCCAGCAATGGAAAGCATTCCTTACATAAATATTCCTCTTGGAATTACTGCCCCCGAAACATCCATGCCTATGGATTAAACTGTAGGCTTATTTTGTCTGACAACAATTGCTTGCTCCACCCAGCTTCCTCTAGTGCCCCCATTTCCAGGAAGCTCACACTAAATTTAGCACTCAATTGTGGTCGCTCTCACACAATTCAACATACACATTTCTGCCTTCCGAAGAGCTTCCTCCCCTCCTCCCCCCTGCCGTGTGTTGCTTTGTTGACAGCCCCACCCCTAGGCCATGATCAAACAGCAGTGGGAGATCATCAAAGAGACCATGGAAAGTCTAGAGAGACAGCAGCAGGAGAGGGTGGAGGGCAAAGCCTTTGGGCTTTCTTGTAATCCCTGGCTCATCTTTCAGGGTCGGCTTTGGTGCTGTAAGATACAGTTTCTATTCAGAAACAGAGTAACTTCTGGCTATCCAGGGTATGGGAGAGGCTGTATTGAACAGTGTGTTCTAGTTTGTATTCTGTTGCTATAATAAAATACTGACCAAAAGTAACTTGGGAAAGAAACAGTTTATTTTATTTTAAAGTTCTAGGTAAAAGTCACTGGGCCTGGAACTGAAATAGAGCCACGGAGCAGTGCTGCTTACTGGCTTGCTCCCATGGCTAGCTCAGCCTGCTTTCTTACAGAACCCAGGAGGTGGCACCACCCACAGTGGGCTGGAACCTTCTACATCAATCACTAGAAAAAAAAATGCCCAACAGAATGGCCTACAGGCCAATCTGATGGAAGCTTTTTTTCTATTGCTTCTTCCCAGATAACCCTAGTTTGTGTCAAGTTGACCAAAACCCAACCAGCACCACATGCTTGTGTAGCTAGGGGGCAGTAAAGGAGGCCCAGTAGACAGCCTATGAATGGACCACCCAATGCTGCCACCTTTCAGATCATCTAATCCCTGCCACACCCTTAGTTTGTCACCTGTGTGTACACCTTGTGAGGATCATCACTAACCTGACTGGTCTGAGCATTGAACTTTTCCATAGATCATAAGGCCAGAACCCCACCACCACCACCACCACCACACACACACACCCATTCCCAGTACTCCATTGCTTGTCTTTGTTCACTGAGCTGGCCAGCCAGGAGGGTTGACTCCAAGTCTGCAGTGGCAGGTCCTGCTGGTTCCCCGGTGGCATTCTTGCCTATATGCCTGTTGCTCCTGTATCATGGACTCGGAAACAGACAGCAGAACCTCAGGATTGCCATTCAGTAGAAGGAGAGGAGCCAGGCTAATGAGATAGAGAGAGAGAAAGAGAGAGAGAGAGAGAGAGAGAGAGAGAGAGAGAGAGAGAGAGAGAGAGAGAGAGAGAGAGAGAGAGAGAGAAAACCAAATAGAGAAGGAGTTTGTTTCCTCTTTGGCCTCAGGCAGCAGGGTATGTCCTCTGTGCCAAGTCCTCTCTAGTAGCCACTTTAGAGGGTGGCCAGACACCCAGGTCACCAAGGAAGAGAAATCTTCAGTAAGACTCAAGGACTATGAAAGACAGTGAAACTCCAAAAATTAGAAATGGAAGTTTCTAGAACAGTAATTCTCAACTTGTGGGTTGTGACCCTTTTGGGAGGTTGAACAACCCTTTCACAGGGGTTGCCTAAGACCATCGGAAAATCCAGATCTTTATGTGATAACTTATAATGGCAGCAAATTTTTGGTTGGGGGCCACCACAACCTGAGAAACTAAACGAAAGGGGTTCGGCATTTGGAAGACTGAGAAACCACTGTCCTAGAAGGACAGCTACTCCAAGAATGAGGGTCAGAGGTAGGCATGCACGGTGGCGCACGCCTTTAATCTCAGCACTTGGGAGAAAGAGGTAGGTAGGTCTCTGTGAGTCTGAGAGCAGCCTGGTCTGCACAGTGAGTTCTAGGACAGCCAGGAGTACAGGGTCAGTTGCCTTTTGGCATTAAACATACAGATGAAGAAGGGGTCGAATCCAGTAAAGTTAGAAAGGTGGACTCATTTCAAATATACCACAGACCTAGGTTTAAGGTATATTATTAATATTAAACGACTCTGACCAGAATCACAGTGGAGATTCCTCGGAAGTGCTTCCTCTTAGCATAGCTGATTGTAAATCGCCAAGCCACAGAACCCGGCTGCACAGCTTCTGTCTAATGCAGCCAATGCTTATGGATAATCTTTTTTTTTAAAAGATTTATTTATTTATTTATTATTTATTATGAATACAGTGTTCTGTCTGCATGCCTTCAGACCACAAGAGGGCACCAGATTGCATTATGGATGGTTGTGAGTCACCACAGGGTTGCTAGGAATGGAAGAGCAGCCAGTGCTCTTAACCGCTGAGCCCATGAATAATCTTTTTTTTTTAAAGATTATTTTTTTTGTCCAAGTAGATGCAAGCATTTGTGTGAATGTACCCATGGATGCCCAGAAGAACACATCTGATCCCTGGGACCTCGAGTTACTGACAGTTGTAACTTCAGGGCCCCCTGATGTGGTTGCTAGGAAGCAAACTCGGGTTCTCTGGAAGAGCAGGAAGGACTCTAAACCACTGAGCCCTCTCTCCAGACTACTTACAAATAATCTTAAAAAGCAATCTCCTGCAAACACGACCATGAATTCTGTCCACACCCAACAGTAGAGAACTGCACGCCGAGCCTAGGCAAGAAGACTGTCCCTTTAAAAGGGTTGTCTGGAGAAGACCTCTGGGCTCAGTTGTTGCTTTGATGACATAAACCCCAACTCCCAGTCTTGCAGAAATATTTTAAGAAACCTCTGCCTTCATGCTTTTTGGAACGGCACGTCAATCCCCACCCCAAGCTGGGGCACTATTAATACATGAGGGTTGCTTGGGGAGGAGAGTCAGTTTTCTTTAAGAGGTGTGGTACCTGGTAGGCTGACCGTGCTCCAGTGAATGGCCGCACACCCATGCATTTTTGGACAGCAAGGAGTGACCCATAGAGAGGGGAGAGGGAATGGATGGACACGAAGGTATGAAACGGTGGTTATCTGGGAGGAGTCTGGAGGAACTGAACGGTGCTTATGGGAGGGGGGCAGACATGATGAAAACATACTGTACGCATGCATGGAATTCTCAAAGGATAAATAAAAGGCTATATCTATTTTAAAAAATACAAAACCCCCTCTGAAATTAAGCGCAGATCCTGCTACTCTGTCTTGTCCCAGGCTAAAAAACAACCCGAGCAGCTTGCAGAAGGGCAGTTTACAGCATTTTTTGGCTCCTGGCAGGATGTGCCTCCTGGGGGAACCTGGGGACACGCGAGGCCCCAATTCTTAACTACTGAAGATTGCAGTGTCCCTGAGAGGATTAGATATCTAGGCAGGCAGGCAGGCAGGCATCTGAGGAGCCACAATGACAAGCGTGCAGCACAGGGGCCTGGCAGAGTGGAGAAGTGCTTGCGGAGCAGAGCAGCCTAGCTGAGGCTGGTGCGCAGGACGTGGCCTGGCAGAATGGGACAGGGCTGTTCTCTACAGCCGCGGCGCCTCATTAAAGCCAGGCAAACACCTGTACTGTGTAGGCTCTTTCTCTCGAAACAATGCCAGGAAAAATTACGAACCTATTTTCTCCGCCATCAAAGAAGCTGCGTTTGCGAAAATAAACAAACAAAACTCAAACTGCTAATCAAAGGCTACAGCAGTGTCCGGCTCACATTTTAGCCGCCCTAGCATGTGGCTTCCTCGGTAGGCGCACCAATCAGTCACGCTTAATCTTTGTTGTATGTGTGTACAGAGGAGGGGAGGGAAAAAAATGGGGGAGACGGGAGGTGGGGAGCGCAGCAGCCACCAGATGGGCTGATATTTTCTTCCATATACAGTTAAAACATACTTTGAGCATGAACCTCAATATCGAGAGAAACGACATAGACTGTACTTCCAACCAAAGCACTTGGCATTGAAGAAATGGCTCTTAAATCTTTCTTTGCTTCCCCTTAGCCGGACACTTAGCACTAGCCAGCCAGGTATACACATCGATTTGGGGTTATTTTTAAATTGGAAGGGTTAACTGGGGCAGGAATACTCACACGAGGGATGGCCTGAGGGAGGAGGTTGACTCTGGGTCTGAGGGAATCGCAGCCCGGAGTGCTCCTGGCCTGATGAATTTCTCTTCTGGGAGAGCATGGTTGGTTCCCTGAGTTCCAAAGCAGGAAGGGAGGCTTGGCTGGAAACCCAAATGCCAGCCACTTGTGTGTGCACAGTCCCTTCTTCTGGGAGTTCCCTTGCCGTCTCCAGGAAGCCTGGGGATATTCCACTCTCTGTCTGAGAAACCGTGATTCCTCCTTCTGACCTGGAACTGCTGGATGACCGGGGAAGGCTCTCCGAGGCTGAAAGCCAGACAACAACAATTAAAACCCCACTAGTGGCTGTCAACTGTCTTATTATCGCTAGTGGACTCAATTAAAAGGTATGAAGAGTTATTCATTCCAGGAGAAAGGAACTGCAAGAGAAACCACCAGGCTTTTGACCTCACCCATGGTCCTCATCGGACGAAACACCCTGATGCTAACTAAGCCTTAGACGATCTAGAATTAGAGACTGGTGTTGGATCAGGAAGACTTATCCTTCACCTTCCACAAAAGACCCCAGAATGTCCCAGAATTCAATGTATGCAGAATTCCCAACACTTGACAGCCAGGCAAACCAGAGTATCACGTGCAGGACTTCTGAGCGCTGCAGCTTCCCTTCCTGGAACACAGAATACCTTCATACAATCCCCTTACAGAACCGAGGGCCCTCAAGGGTAGGAAACCAGGAAGTCACCTTGGATTGCTTCAGCCTCTTTGAGGTCCTCACCAACTCTCAACATTCTGTCGATATGAATTGTCTTTTGCTTGCTTTTACTTTTGGAGACAGAGTCTAACTATATTGCTTTGGCTGTCCTGTAACTCACTATTTAGACCAGGCTGGTGTTGAACTCACCAAGCTCCACCTGCCTCTGCCTCTTGAGTGCTGGGATCTTTTCTAATTTTAATTTTCGAGGTGGGGTCATATGAAGCACAGACTGATCTCATATTCAAGGATGACTTTTAACAACTTTTTAAAAAAAGATTTCTTTTTATTTTTAGGCCTCTGTGTGTGTGTGTGTGTGTGCGCGCGCGTGCACGCGAGTGTGCGTGTGTGTGCCTATGGTTGCCAGCAGAGCACTGGGTCCCCTGGAACCCGAGTACTGGTTGGGAGCCATCCAATGTGGGTGCTGCAAACTAAAGCTGGGTCTCTTAGAGGAGTGATGTTAGTGGATGAGCTGTCTCTCCAGCCCAAGCTTGAACTTCTGATCCTCCTGCCTCTGCTTCCTGAATGCTGGGATTACATATGTTGTTTACACGGTTCTGGGGACTGAATCCAGGGCTTCGTACCTGTTTGGCAAGGTCCCCAACCCCCCTTTGTGAAGACTCTTTACCTGGCGATTCTTCAACACCTTCCCCAGGTGAGCACCGGCTACCTACACGTCTGCCTGGGGGGGTCCAGCTCACTTCAGGTCCCCTTTTCTCCCATACTAGACATCTTACAGGCTTGCTGCCAGGAGGCTTGTCTCTCAAACTGTCTTAACCCCGTCTCTCGGTTGTGCAAAACCCTCCAGTGAGTCTTCCCACCACCCCAAGTAGAAACTTCCCGTCCTGCAAAGTATTCCACCGTTGTCCCTACCCTCCACAGAGCTAGCCATCCTGCCCACGGCCCTCTAACTCTCCCAGGGAGGACTGGGGCACTGGTGCTCCCCTCCCTTCCGTCTTTACTCACACGGGGCACCCCGTCTCTGAGCTGTAGTGCCCACTCACTCAACACATGGACTTGGGCTCTCCTCACTTGGAAATCTGCCACCAACTCTCCACCTCCTGGGCTAATTAGTCTCTGAGCTTCAGTTTCCAAACCTTAAAGCGAGACTAACACGGCCTCACCGGGCTGCTGGAAGGATGGAGAGCCGGCTCGTTGCTATGTAAATGCATACCTAATTAGCACTACTTTTCTTTGTCTTCCTTCTTAGGTTGAGCTGTGCTCATAGAACTGCGGCCTCTTTTTGAAACCCTTCGCTGGAAGTACTAAGCTGCCAACAGTGTAGACAGGAGCAGCAAGAAGCAGTCAAACTCTTATCAACACAAACAGAACCTAGCCACCCTTCCCAACCCCTGAGATGTGTGATTGCGTGGCAGGATCCTGGGAGCAAGGAGGTGGTGTGGATTCAGACTGCCAGGGAGCATAGATGTTAAAGGAACCATCAGGGTGTCCAACAAATCTGCACTCCCTCCCCTAGTCTGACTTTCCAAGCATGGCTCTTAGGGGGACTTGCCTGATCCATCCCAATACAGAACCTCTAAATAGGCACAGTGGCTCTGGATGTGGGGGGGGGGGGGGGGGGGGG